CACTTGGCTGCCACATGGAAATTCTGCTGCTTGAAAAAATAATGACAGGGCTGGAGCAATAGCACTGCGGTGAGGACGTTTGCCTTCACGTGGCTGACCCGGGTTCGATTCCCAGCATCCCATATGGTCCCCAGAGCACCACCAAGAGTAATTCCTGAGTGCAGAGCCAGGAATAACCCCTGAGCATTGCCGGGTATGACCCAAAAAGCAAAAAATAGTAATAATAATAATGACTGAAAGCACTGCAGAGGGGCCACCAAGGATAGTACAGCAGGGAGGGCATTTGCTTTGCACACGGCCGACTCTGGTTTGATTCCCAGAACCCCATATGGTCCCCCAAGCACTGCCAGAAGTGATTCCTGAGTGCAGAGCCAGGAGTAAGCCCTGAGCACCACCGGATGTGGCCTAAACACTATATATATATATATATATATATATATATATATATATAAAAGGTAAAGGCCCTCCCGTTGATCGTCGATTTGCTCGAGCGGGCCCAGTAACGTCTCCATTGGAGACTTTGTTGTTACTGTGTCTGGCATATCGAATACTCTCGGTAGCTTGCTGGGCTCTCCGAGAGGGGCGGAGGAATCGAACTCCGGTCGGCCATGTTGGCCGCTTGTAAGGCGAACGCCCTACCCGCTGTGCTATCGCTCCAGCCCATATATATATATATCCAAACACTGGAGATGCACAGAGAGAAGGCCTCCAAATGTTCAACTTTCTCCCCCTCTCAACCCAGAAACTGAAGGAGGATTCTAGAATCCATTATGCTGGTCTCTTTCACATTGATAATTATGCCAGGCAAAGCTCTTAGATCATTGTTAAGTTAATTAGGGGCCGGAGAGATAGTACAGCAGGTAGACATTTATTTGCTTTATATCTGGCTGGCACAGGTTCGATCCCCAGCACCCCAGATGGTTCCCAGCACTGCCAGGAGTGATCCCTGAATGCAGAGCTGGAGTAAACCCTAAACATCACCACCAAGTGTGGCCCCAAAACAACAGCAACAATAACAAAAGATATAAACAAAAGCCGTCTAGAAGACCAGGGATGTAGCTCAAGAGTGGGGCACTTCCCTTGCATGTGTGAGGTCCTGGGTTTGATCCCTGGCACCACAAAACAAAACAAAGAAATGTAATGAAGATAACCATGGTCAACTGAAACAAACAAACAAAAAAAGTGGGAAAGAGTATCCAGAGAGATAATACAGCCAGTAAGTCACTTGCATGTGGTCAACCTGGGCTGGATTCCCAGCGGCACCAGGTACGGTCCCCTGAACCCACCAGGAGTGATCCCTGAGCACAGAGTCAGGAGTAAACCCTGAGCAAAGTTGGTGCATCCCAAAACCAAAATAATAATAATAATAATAATAATAAATAACAATAAATACTGGATGCTTGCCAGTGTATTTCAGGGAAGATGTGTGTCCAAAAGAGAAAACTAAAAACTCTCCCCATAACTGGAAATTAGACATAAAAACTCCAGTACTACCTTCTTTCTGCACGGCGGCAACGACATTCTGAGTTTCGGACCAGCGTTCCACAATCTCCCTGCAGATGTTCAGGAGAGAATCTTCTTCCTAGAATGAAAAGGAAACCAGTAAATTCCTGAGAGAGCCTCAACCTGGACAAAGCCGATGTGGAAAGTTCTCCCTGAAACTAAGAAATCACATAGAAGGCTTGGGGCCTGGGATGGAGAACATTCTGAGGCTCTGAACAGAAAATCAATGCTGTGTCTGGGTCCCAGAGTCGACACCAGCAAGGTCAGGAGCACCCATTCCACCCCACCAGGCCCCAGGGAAAAGGAGTCCCACCAACTAAGGCCAACCTTCCTTTGTTGTTGTTGTTTTAGTTTTAGGGGGGCAAAGCCAGTAATGCTCAGGAATTTTCTCTGGCTCACTCAGGAATTACCCCTGGAAATGCTCAAAGGGCCATATGGGATGCCAGGCAAGCACCCTACCCACTGAACCATCATCCTCTGGCTCACTAAAGGAATTACCCCTGGCAGTGCTCGGGGGGCCATATGAGATGCCAGGCAAGTACCCTAACCATCGGGCCATCCTTTGGCCGCCTCATCTTTCTTCTGAAGAAAACAAATCTAAAAGTTTTGGAGTCAAAAGTCTCTGAGGGGCCGGAGAGATAGTACAGTGTATAAGGTACCTGTTTTACTTATGTATTCGTTCCCCACCATCCTACATGGTCCCTTGAGCACCACCAGAAATGACCCCTAAGTGCACCAGGACTAACCCCTGAGCACTGACTGCCAGGTGTGACCCATAAACAAACCAAAAAGTGTCTTGTCTGAAATCCTCCTTGTCCAATGTACTCAATTCTGTACATTCCCCTAAGGTCTATGAGCTTTGTGCTGGGGCCTATCTAAGATCTCACTCTGAGCTGACATACGAGATACATGAGGATGGGCTGGAGAGAGAGTGCAGCAGATAGTACACTAGCACCGCAACCATCTGACCAGGGATCAATTCCCAGAACAACATATGGTCCCCTCAAGCACCACCAGGAGTGATCCCTGAGCACAAAGCAAGGAGTAAGCCATGAGAATTGTCGAGTGTGGTCCAAAAACAATAACAAATGAGTAATGGTCACCTATCTAGCCACCCTCGGTGAGCACTGTAGCCGAGGGTATGAGCACCGCGACCTGGTGTGGGAGCCCTTTGGAGTGCCATAGCTAAACATGTGCTGTCAGGAAGCAGGGGACCAGCATCATCATTAGTGATCAGTGATGAGGGGGTCAGTTAAGGAAAGGATGAGTCAATGAGTTGGGACCAAGTTGCCCAACTTTTTTTTTTCTTTTTGGCTTTTGGGGTCACACCCAACAATGCTCAGGCCTGACTCCTGGCTCTACACTCACAAATTATTCCTAGCAGTGCTCACGGGGTGCAGGGGATTGAACCTGGGCAAATGCCCTTCCCACTTTACTATTGCTCCGGCCCATTACTCAACTTATTTCAACTTCTTTTAATGGAATCTTTAGACATTTCCCATCAAATGTAAAAATTAAGTTTCTGGGGCCCAAGAGATCGTTAAGGTGCTGACCTGGTAGGCAGCTGCTGTCATACTATTTCAAATCCCGTCACTGAATATAATTCACTGAGCAGAGAGCCACAAGTGTCCAGAAAAAAAAATAAATATATATATATATATATTATGGGGGACCGGAGTGATAGTACAGTGGGTAGGGCGTTTGCCTAGCATGTTGCTGACCCAGGTTCGATTTCTGGGACCACTATGGTCCCCAGGAACTCTGCCGGTTGTGATCCCTAAGCACAGGGCCAGAAGATAGCACTGCCAGGTGTGGCCCCAAAACAAACAAATAATGCACCGCTTAAAAAAAAAAAAAACACTGGTGCTGGAAGATACAGTACTTGCCTTTCTTTCAGCTATTTGGGTTCAATCCTGAGCACAACCAGGAGCGACTACTGAGCAGAGTGAGATGCGCTGAGCCAGTCCAGGTGTGACCTAACCTCACAGTTAAATCAAACTGCTTGCTTCCTTTCCTGCTTCCCTACAAGCCACAATGTCAGAGTCCAAGAACTCATTCCACTGTTATAGTCCCACTGCACTTAAGAAATGCATCGCTGGTAGTATTACAACTTTCCCACTAATAGGCCATATACCCCAGGGCTGGAAAGGAGAGACCTGGGTCAGCTACTTTATGAAATTAACCATCAACCAATGTGGTTCCACCTGGAAATAAGCGGAGATGGAAGAGGCAGAAATGATCGGGTTAGAAAAGTGGGCGCTGTGGTGACAGACTTGTCAGACACAGTTTAAGATCACATTTCTCGATTTCTTCAATCTACGCCTCAGGGGGTGTCACACCAGTTTAATTCAATGCACGGCCCCCTCACATTCCCTCTTCCCTCCGACAGCCATCCCTGCTGCATGTCTCAACGCTGCAGCGGGTCCAGGGCGCGGTTCGCCCGGCTCCGCCCGGACAGGCCCCGACCTCACCCGCCGCATACCTCTCGCGACTCTCACGCAGGTGTGGGTCGGTATCGGCCCGGCCCCGCCTCGCCCCTGAGCTCGGCCCAAGGACAGGAACGAAGTTTGTCGTTCAGCGCCTACGGTGAAACTTACACGGGGGACGTGTCCGTGGCTTCACAGCTTCACCCACAAGCACCCAAGGCGGGTCTGACCCCCAGAAAGGAGAAGCAAAAGTCGTTTCTCTCTCCCGCCGCCTTCCCGAGTCCCCAAACCCCCACAGTGGGGAGCGACCCCGAGCCCCGCGGCCCAGTGTCGGGGAAGAAAGAGAATGCCCCTCTCCCAGGTGGGACCAACAACGCCCCCCTGGACCAACCAGGATGGGGACGGGGTGGGGGTGGGAGGTAAAGAGCAGTGCCAGGGCCCGGTCGGGGGCTGAAGGACTGTGCCCGGCGTCTCACCAGGAAAGCGGAGAGGATGCACTGCAGCGCGTCCAGCTTCTCCTCCTCCTCCTCCTCCTGCAGGACACCCAAGATGTAGGCGCCATAAACGGCTCGGTCCACTCCCAGAGCCTCCAGCCGTCCGTCCAGCCACGCTCCAAAGTTAGCGCCCCCTCCGTCGCCGTCCCCGTCCCCGGCGGCCGCGCCGGCCACTTCGCTGGGCGCCGCCATCTTGGGCTCGGGGTCCTGCCGGCGCCGCAGGTGCCCACGGCGGTGCCTGACGGGAGGCGGCGCGGCCCCAGTGCGCAAGCGCGCAGAGGGGCGCGCAGGCGCGCTGCTGCGCAGCCGCGGCCGGCCGGCGGTGGCACGTTTGTTTCCCTCGAAGCCCCGCACTTCCCAGCACGGCTCTCCTCGGCCGAGGCTCGGGCCCGAGACCCCAGGCCGGCGAGGATTCCTAACCGACGAGTTTTTACGGTTGGGGAAGTTCAGAGAGGTCCGGTGACTCAGCCAGGGTCGCGCGACTCACGAACGGCCGAAGCTCAGCCTCTTCGGCGGCGCTCGCGGCGACACCCGGCCGACACCTGCGTTCCCGGCGTCACTCTCGACGCCTTACCACATGTCTCCCTTCCCCCACCGCCCTCCAAAACCCAGTTCGGGAGATGCATCCTTGGTCCCCTGCAACCTCTGTCCGGACGCGCCGCCTCCTCGCCAGGGCCCGGGCGGGCTGCTGCAGCTGGTCCTCAGCGCGTGGACGCGGCAGGTGTTAGCAGGTGAACCGGCCCCTGCTGCCTCGCCAGCGGCTACCTTCGCTTAGGGCTGGTCTCTAACGGCGTCCCTTGGCTGCAGCTTGCGGGGTGGGGGGAGGGGGGGAAGGTGAGGGAGGGCTAGAGCGGGCTCCCGCCTCCGTCCCTTTGATCCTTTGCACTGCCTTTGTTGTGCACAGATCAAAGATTAGGAAACCCGGGCTGTTTCGGAAAGAACGGTAAGGTCTCTACCGCACAGCGGCCAGCGCCTGGGGGTTTCTGCACACCAGCCGCTCTGCACTGAACTGGGTTACTCGGACCCCGGGTGAGCTCAGGTCCCAGACTGACGCCTCCATCCGGGGCTCGGGCCCGAACACACAGCGGTAGCCGACCCTTCCACTCCCCCCCCCCCCGTCCTTCACGCTCCCCCCGCCCCCGCATGCCTGCCCATCAGGGCCCCAAAGTCAGGGGGTGTGATCAGAAGGTAGGTCCACGGTCTGTCTGGCAGAGCCGAGGAGAACAGATTCTCGTGGCCTGGGGCTGGCGGCTGTAGACATGGAGGAAGCCAGAAAGACTTCCTAGTGGGCATGAGGCCTCACCTTTTTTTTTTTTCTTTTTTTGACTTTATGGGTCACACCCAGCGATGCTCAGGGGTAAGTTATTCCTGGCTCTGCACTCAGGAATCACTCCTGGCAGTGCTCGGGAGACCATATGGGATGCCGGGGATTGGGGATCGAACCCGGGTCGGCCGTGTGCAGGGCAAACGGCCAACCGGCTTTGCTATCGCTCCAGCCCCGAGGCTTCACTTTTTGAGGTATGAAACGGCGCTGAAGTCAGGCTGGAGAGAACGGGGACACCGAGTCAGTTGCAGGCAGGGAAGTCTGAAGGGTCGTCTGGGGATGCTCTAGTGTGGCTCGCGGTCAGACCTTACGCTGGCTTGGGGGCGTGGACGGTAATGAACCAGCCAGATGCAGTGTAGCTCAGTCGAGGTAGAGTTTTAGCCCTGTGGGGGAGCATTGCTAGGGTCTGCGCTAGAATCAGCACCCCAAGACTTAACCAGGGACTGACATGTGCTCTGTAAGCCAGGAACTGGCTCGTCAACGGGGGCAATCAGGAGACAGGCAAGGACTTAGGGGTACACCTAGGCTCAGGGAAGACAGTTAACATCAGCGTGGATTGCCCCCAGTCAGAAATGTGGTTTTCTTATTTTGAGGTGGTGGCTTACCCCTGGCTCTAAGACTCAGGGATCACGCTTAGTGCACCTTGGGGTAGGGCGGGGGCATATGGGGTGCCAGGATCAAACCCTGGTCGACTTTGTGCCAAGCAAGCACCCTACCCACTATCTCTCCCGCCCCTCTTTTTTTACTTGTTTATCAGGAAGTTTGAGGAAAAGCCCGGCCAAGCCCTGTGCCCCTCCCCTAGTTTTCCTCAATGTCCCCATTTTACATAACAATGCCAAGATCTGGAAATTACACTGGGACCAACGAAGAATTTTTGTTTTGTTGGGGTTTTTGTTTGCTTGTACTTTTGCCTTAAGGCCAGATTCACCAATGCTCTGGTTTACCCCAGATTCTGTGCTTAGGGATTATTCCTGACAGGGCTCAGGTGACAGTATGGATGCCAGGGGCCAGGGATGGAACCTGGGTCTGACTTGTGCAAGGCAAGAACCCTTTGCTTGCTGTACTATCTCTCTGCACCCCCCCCACACACAAAGGTTTTTTAGTGTGTGTGTGTGTGTGTGTGTGTGTGTGTGTGTGTGTGTGTGAAGCATGGTAGTTATTAGAAGATGTGGGAGAGGGGTCACAGCGAGTAGGGCATTTGCCTTGCATGAGGCTAACCTGTGTTTGGTCCTCAGGTATCCCGTATGGTTCCCCGAGCACCTTCAGGAGTAATACCTGGGTTCAGAGCCAGGAGTAACCCCTGAGCATCATGGGGTGCCCCCCCCAAAAAAAACCCTTGAACCGTGTGTGACCAAAAAAAACCTAAAAATAAATAAAAATATACAGCCCTTTTTTTAAAATTTTAAAACATTTTTATAAAGCCCTTTTAAAAATATATATGTGGGACAGAAAGAAAGGAAATGTGTTGAAGAGAGCAACAGGACTCTCCAGGCAAAGAAACAGAGAAGCTAGCGAGATACAGGCTTGAAGATCAAACAAAAGTTTTTGAAGGCTTAATAGACTTATCACTAAACTGAGGACTCCAGACCTTGAATTAAAGGGCCTGGAAAAGATAGTACAGCAGGTAGGGCCCTTGCCTTGCATGTGGCCAATGCGGGTTCAATCCCTGACATCCCATGTGGTCCCCCAAGCACTGCCAGGAGTAATTTCTGAGTGCAGAGCCGGGAATAACCCCTGAGCATCATGGGGTACCCCCCAAAAAACCCTTGAATTAAACCAAAAAGGCCTCATCTTTTTTTTATCAAAAAGTTCATTTCTTGGGGCTGGAGCGATAGCACAGCGGGTAGGGCATTTTCTTTGCACATGGCCAACCCAGGTTCAATTCCCAGCATCCCATATGGTCCCCCAGGAGTAATTCTTGAGTGCAGAGCCAGGAGTAACCATTGTGCATTTCTGGTGTGACCCAAAAGCAAAAAAAAAAAAAAAAAGTTCATTGCTCAAAGAATTACCTACTGGACAAATGGCCAAAATTTTACAGAAAAATAAAACAGCCTTTACTCAATAAAGCTATACCACCATGATTATAGTTTCAACAAATTACTTACCCCAGACACAAAACCTCCTGAGGTTTGACAACGCACTGCTGGTCTGTGGCTGGATGACAGCAGTTTGGAACGCTGGAGCAGAAATTAAATCACTACAAACTTTACTTCTGGGAAGTTATATTGGTCCATACATATATGAAGAGTGACAGATTTGCATTGCTCTTCAATGATGCTTATTGTCATAAGAAAGAGGGTGGAGAGATAGTACAGAGGGCAGGGTGCTTGCCTTGTACATAGCCACTTGGTTTGATCCCTGTCATCACATATGGTTCCCTTAGCCCTACCAGGAGTGATCCCTGAGCAAGAGCTGAGTGTGGCCCCAGACAACAAAAATGGACAGAAAGAGGCTACACAAACAAGACTGCTGACCCAGAAAAAGCACAAGGAAAGTATCCTGGAGCCTCTGAAATGGAAAAAGCTCTTCCTGTACTAAAATGTAACAAGACTCAAGATACATTGTTAAGGAAAAAGCAAGACTCAGAACAATACATAATGTTTGTGCCCTTTAGTAAACATACACTCATCTTCCTTCTACAAGCCTAAAATAGCTGGGAAAAGACACCTGAGGTGGCTGGCTGAGGCAGAGAACTCAGGAAATCTTAACTTGTTTGAAATGCTGGGGAGGGGGGGAGATGGTAAAATCCTTAGGGCACTCGCCTTGCACGTGGCCTACCCAGGTTCAATTCCAGCACCACCCTGAGCTCCCTTGGCCTCATCAGGAGTAAGCCCTGAGCCAGAAGTAAACCCTGAGTGCTACCAGGTGTGCGCCACCCCCCCCACACACACACACACAAAATATGGTGAATTATTTGTTATACTTGTTTACCTTGCTTTTTTCCCTTTAAGAAATAAAGCCTGCCTGAAGTCCTTTCTCCAATCTCATTTTTTTAATATCCTTCCCCGCAGGTAACTGCCACCCCAGAATGTGGGGTCATCATTTTTCCTTCCTGCTTTTGGTGGTGGTGGTGCATGGGGAGAAGGTTGTTTTCCCCAGCATTGCTCAGGGGCCCTAGAGTCCACGCCCAGAGGGCGTGGTGCTGCTTGGGCCTTGTGCTGGGAACAAGCAGGGCCATCCTGGTGAGTGCTTCTGGCAGGGATGCTAATGCCATCCTTTACTCAGCAGAATGCAAGTCAAGTGCTTTATCCTGTACTACAGCGCTTGCCCCCTTTCAGTACCTCACCTAAGACTCAAAGGAAACACTACATTTGCAATACATATTTTGACACTTGTATCCAAAGTCACCTGTAGTCACAAACAATGTTTCACATTATTTTGCATATTGGATTTTTAATTCTGCAGTGGTGGGGGGAGGGGGTTCTCTAAGAGGTTTTTTAAAGGGGTTAGAGCAATACTACAGCTAGTAGGGTGCTTGCTTTGCATGCAGCCAACCAGTTCTATTCCCAGCATCCCATATGGTCACCTGAGCGCAGAGCCAGGAGTAAGCCCTGAGCACTACCACTGGCCTATAAAACAAAAACTTAATTAAAAAATTAAGATTTAAAATATGTGCCCATATTGATAGAAGGCAGATCTTTTCCATTCCCTTATATCACTAGTTTTTGGGGGGATTTCGCTTTGGAGGCTACATACAGTGAAGCTCAGGGACTCATTAATAGTTTTAATGCATTTTGATCATTGTAAGGACTCATATTTTGTGAAGTAAATATATCTATTGATTATCTGTCAGCCTTCCTGTGCCATTATTTCATAGGTATTTCTCTGACACATTTTTCTTTTTCTATTTTGGTTTTTGGGCCATTCTTGGCAGTGCTGAGGGCTTATCCTGGCTGTGCATCCAGGGATCATTCCTGTTGGGTTCTGGACTATTTGGGATGCCGGGGATTGAACATGGGTCAGCCGCATGCTTGGCAAGTGCCTTACCCTCTGTACTGTTGTTCAAGTCCCCAGGTAAGTTTTTTCTGATAAAAACATTTCTGGGCTGGAGAAACAGTGTGGGGATTAAAGTGCTTGGTTTGCATGCAGCCCACCAGGCTTGGTCCCTGGCAGTGCATGGTTCCCTGAGCACTACATCATTCCCCCAAGCACACTGGTGGTCACCTTCCAGCACAGAGCTGGGGGTGACCCCAAAATAAATAGAAACTAAAATACATATAGCAGGGCTAGGATTAGACTTCAGAGCTTGCCTCTGTGAGGTCTGAGCTGGAGGCCAGCACAAAAAAATTATATGTATGTATATATAATATATTTCAATGTGAAGATCTCTTTGCTTTTTATAACCTCATAGTGTTGAGCAGTTTTACTATCATTTATTGTAACAGTTCCCTGCTGCTGGTTGAGATTTTGATCGCATCTTAATGCCAGTGCGAACAGCACTATAGGAGATGCCTTTATTACATAGGCCCGGGTGCATTTGAGTGAGTGTATTTATTCTTTTTTTTGTCACACCCGACATTGCACAGGGGTTACTCCTGGCTCTTGCTCTCGGGAATTACTCCTGGCAGTGCTTGGGGTACCCATATGCTGGGAATTGAACCCGAGCCAGCCACGTGCAAGGGAAACACCCTACCTCCTGTGCTATCACTCCAGCCCTTGAGTGAGTGTATTTGTAGACTAACTCCTAGAAAGGGAATCGCTGCTGATCAGATATGTACATTTGTAATCTGGCAGTTAGGGCCAAATTGCCTTACCTAGGAGGCTAGTACAACTCCTCTGTAAGGCAATTTGGCACAATCTAGAAAAATTAATCTTTGCCAGTTTGCTAAGTGAAAGGTGGCATTTAGGGGGTAGATTTCATTTGCATTTCTCTGACTTTGAGTGAAATTCAGCACATTTGAATGCTCTTTCTGCTGCCACTTTTATGATTCTTCCTTTACCCATTTTCAAATAAGTAGCTTTTTTTTTCTGCATCTGAATTAGTTTATTGTGGAAAATCAGCTTCTGTTTCAGTGAGGTGAACTGAAATGCCCCCTTTTCTCCCCCCTTTCTGGTTTTTGGACCGCACCTGACAGAACTCAGGAGTTACTCCTGATTCTGTGCTCAGAACTCATTTCTGGCAGGATTCAGAGAACTATATTAAGGTGCCAGGGATCGAACCCATGTTAACCCTGTAAAGGCAGGTGCCTTACCCTCTGTATTCTGAGCCCTGAAATGACCGGAAATTTTTAAATTCTAAGCACTTTCCCTCATAAATCTAGAAAAATTACAAAAACACAATGACTATGATTTAAAAAAAGTTTTCACCAAAGTAGCAAAAACTACCTTTTTCTGGTCACTTTGTGTTGAATACATCTTTAATACTTCACTGCCTTGTAGATAATATCTTCATTTTATAAATTAAAAATGCTATCGGTCTGAGAGATTTGTTCATTCCGAAAATATCAGTTACCTACTGTGCTCTTTACTATAAATGAGTGAAAGAGAGAAGGTTCTCATTCTCACTTCTTTTCTTGGGAGGCAGTTGGAAGGCATACCCAGTAGGTGTTCAGGGGATAGAACAGGGATCAATTGTGTATACCTTAACTCCTATACTATCTCTCTGCCCCAAGGTTTTTCTTATAGATCTTCATTCTTGGGGATGAGACAGAGATAACAGATAGATGAATTAGATCATTTCTATTAGTGGAAGGTGCTAATAAGGAAATAAACCTGGGGCCTTAGAGATAGTAAGCAGGTAGGGCGCTTTCCTTGCACGCAGCCAACCCTGGTTTCATCCCTGGCATTACATATGGTCCCTGGAGAACTGATTCTTGAGTGCAGAGCCAGAAGTAACCCCTGAGCACTGCCAGGTGTGACCCAAACAAAGATAGAAACTGCAGGCATTAGCATAGAGCTGGATTTTGAAGCCATGGAGTTGAGACTTTTTTTTTCTTTTTGGGTCACAACTGTTGATGCACAGGGGTTACTCCTGGCTCTGCACTCAGGAATTAGTCCTGGCGGTGCTCAGGGGAACTTATGGGATGCCAGGAATCGAACCCAAGTCGGCCATGTGCAAGGTAAATGTCCTACCCACTGTGCTATCACTTCTGCCCCTGAAAGAGACTTTCTAGGAAGAGAGTGAATAAGGAAGAGAAGAGGGCCTGGGAGAAACCACATCATTTCAAATATTTGGAAGTGAATCAGCCTCGGATCTAGCAAAGGCAACTGGAGGGTTACTGAAGCAAGGTGAAAGCAGATACGAATGAAAGCAAAGAGAAATGTTTGAAGAGGGAAGTCTGTTTTCTTATTTTAAGAACAGGATTTACTTTTACTTTAAGAACAGGATACAAGGACAGTGAAGAAACCAGAGGTTGTGGGGACTTGGGTATAGTTGACCTAAACAAGTACAACTTTGTTTTGGGTTCACACCTAGTGGTGCTCAGGACTTATCCTTGGCTCTCTGTTCAAGGATCACCCTAGCAGTATTTGGGGGACTAACATATGGGGTACCGGGGATCGAACCTAGGTGGACAACATGCATGTCAAACACCCTACTTGCTGTTTGCCTTGGTAGGTAGGTCTGGTCCCCAGTACAAGTAGACAAGTAGAACTACTTTTTTTTTTTTTTTTTTTTTTTTGCTTTTTGGGTCACAGCTGGCGATGCACAGGGGTTACTCCTGGCTTTACACTAAGGAATTATCCCTGGCGATGCTCAGGGGACCATGTGGGATGCTGGGAATCGAACCCGGGTTGGCTGCGTGCAAGGCAAACACCCTACCCACTGTGCTATCGCCCCAGTCCCTAGAACTACTTTTTTTAAAATTCTATTTTAGTTTAGCTTAGTTTTTGGGTTACATCTAGACCAGAAAAGCTCAACAGTCACTCCTGGCTCTGCACTCAGAAATTACTCCGCGGGGGGTGCTTGGGGGACCATATGGGATGCCTGGGATGGAATCCTGGTGAGCCGCGTGCCAGGCAAGTGCCTTACCTGCTGCATTAACCCGCAATAAGTAAAACTAATGTAGAGGCGGGGATTCAATGTAATTAAATGAAGTAAAGACTGAAGTGGGGAACTGAAACAACTCTCCTGGAAAACTTTTGCGGCAAAAAAAAAAAAAAGAAAGAAAAAAAAGAAAACAAAACAAAACAGGCAGGAGTGAACGCGAAACGGAAGACGAAGGGGTCAAAAATGTCCCCCTAAGACCACCGTACGGTGGTCTCGCAGCAACGGCTTTATTTCGGGAGGTGGAGCCTTCAGGAAATTGAAACCGTATCCCGGCGCGTGAGAGCCGAGAGCGGAGCTGCGGTCGCGGCACCGCTGCGGGAGTCGGGGGATCGGGAAAGAGCCCGAGCGAGGCGGAGATCGTGAGAAGGAGAACGGAGTTCAGGCAGGTGCGGGGGGCCGGCGGGTGCGGGAGACTGCGGCGGCCGGGCGGGCTCGGGGTCGGGCTCGGGAGCGGTGGCCGTCAGCGCGGAGCGCGGGGCGCGGGGCGCAGGGGCGCGGGGTGCGGGGGCGCCGCTGCGGTGGCGGAAGCCGGTCGGAGCGGGGACAGGGGCACCGGGCCGGGGTGGCGGGAGCGGGGACAGGAGGGCCGGGCCGGGGTGCCGAAAGGCGCGCGGTCCTGGGACGGGCTCGCTGACCCCGGAGCCGCCAGGGACCGTGCGGGATGCAGGGGATGGAGGATCGGAAGCTGCCGACTTGGTGCAGTTGACGTTTTGTCCTTTTCCCAGGCGACGCGCGGTCCGAGGCAGAGAGTTGGATGGCCGAGCGTCGGCTCCCGGCCCCGCACGCAGGTAGGTGATTCATGGACTGGAAGCGGGAGCGTGGGGCCGAGTTCGCAGGAGCGCTTTGCAGGCGGACCTCCGGCACCCCCACCCCTACCCCGAGCCGCGTTGGGGATGACTACTGAGCACTGCTGGGCCGTGATCCCAAAGCTGAAACAAACTGGGGGTGCAAGGTCAGAGCCACTGCTGCTCCATCCGAAACGTTACGACCGAGATGCCGGTACCGTTTGGGGAGATGGCAGCGTTTTGTTTCCTTCTGATCCTGCATTGTCTGTTTTCTCTAATTTGGGTGGTGGTTTGAGGGCTTGTTTTTGTTCCATTTGCCTTAGTTTTGGTGACTCCTCCCCCACCTTCCCCTCTTTGTTAACCTGATTGCAGGTGAGAGGGCTTTCTTCCAATGTCTGGTCATCCTTCTACTTATGTTTTTATTCACAAGAGGGAGGTGGTGGATTGATGATTGGAAATATGTGGTTTCCTGGTTGTCAGCTGCCAGAGGTCATTGTAACTGATTAGACAGGAACCTGGTGTGAATTTCAGGGGCTGGTGCTCCCTTGCCACGCAGGGTGGTGGAACAGGAGCATGGTACCGCAGGCCCCATGTGCAGGTCTTTGAGCTCCCTCCAACTCCCTTCAGGCTATAGCTTGAATAATTATTTTTCGAGCTGTGATAATATAAAAGATGTCATTTTAACCATTTTTGAGTATTCTGTTCATTTGCATCTGTCACACCAATAGGTAATCTTTTCCCTTCCCCCAGGGTGCTCTTCATGGCACTCTCTCCAGCCTCTGTTTCCACTTTTCGCTCAAGTGAATCATGCTTCTGTGAACATTTGGGGGGGGGGGGTTATTACTCATCAGTACTCAGGGGTTACTTCTGTCAAGCTCCAGGAACCAATGGGATACCAGGAATCAAATCTGGTTGGGGTGCAAGGGAAGTATCTTAACGGCTGTACTATCCTTCAGGCCCCTCTTTTTGTTTCGTTTTAAAGTAAGAACGTTTTGGGGCTGGAGAGATAGCACAGCGGGTAGGGCTTTTGCCTTGCACGCAGCTGACCTGGGTTCGATTCCCAGCATCCCATACAGTCCCCCAAGCACCGCCAGGAGTAATTCCTGAGTGCATGAACCAGGAGTAACTCCTGTGCATTGCTGGGTGTGACCCAAAAAGCAAAAATAAAATAAAGTAAGAACATTTTTATTGAGGGGTCGGAGCAATACTGCGCATGGCCAACAGGGCCAACCCAGGTTGTGGAGTATCCATATGGCCCCCCAAGCACTGCCAGGAGTAATTCCTAAGTGCAGATTCAGGTGTAACTCTGAGCATTACCAGGTGTGACCCAGAAACAAACAAAAAAGTTTTTATTGAAACTTATTTAGAAACATTTGAGGAGAGAGAAAGGGAGTAGTGCAAGTTGGAGAGAGAAGGCTGGCTTCTCCTGAGTGGAAATAAGAAGTAAAGTAACAATTCAGTGAGGCCCAGAGCAATAGTACAGAGTGCTTGCCTTGGAAAGATCTAGCCCCTTGAGCTATTGGGTGGGCCTGGAGGATACTTTGTTGCTGGAGGAAACTTACATATGCAGTTGGTAAAACTGCTGTGCCCCAGGGATTCCTCATCTTCTGAATCCCTGGAACAGGCAACAAAAGACTAACAAGACTAAGTACCTGGCCTTGGCACTAGCTGATCTACCCTCCCCCCATGCCTCCTTTACTTCACTAGAAACACACCCTAAAACGGACTGGCCTGGTCTTCATTACCCTCTAGAGGCTTGTGAGATTCGTCCTGGAGTGCTCTCTTTCTAATAAACCCCATTTCCTCTGGTTCAAGGGAGAACACAGGCTTGAAGAGCAAGCCCTTTGAACGTTTTTGTACACAGTTTTGTTTGTGTGCCGTTATGTCTGGCAATGCTCAGGACATACTCCTGGCTCTGTGCCGAGGGATCACTTCTGGCAGGGTTCAGGCGGGGACCATATGGGGTGCCGAGGATCAAACCCGGATCAGCTGTGTGCAAGGCAAGCACCCTGCCTGCTGTTCTACTTCTCCTGTTCCTCTTGTACTCGTTTTTATCCAGATACATATCTTTTTGTATGATTTTCCCAGTTGTACTTTGACTGCAGTCAGCATTTTGAGAAACTGTCAGACTGGCTTTCTGCCCTGTCGCGCATTCCCTCCCATGTCTGTGGAGGGTTCCTGGTGGCAGGTTCCACCGCTGAGGACAGAGCACCTTCTCCGCCAGGGTCTCAAGGCATAGGTTGGTACTGGGAGATGCTTCATTTTTGCAAATCTCTGACCTGCAGCTTTTCATTCTGTTCCGCTTTGTAATTTTCTAGGTGCTCAAGTAGGAGCTGCCGGTTGCTGGGGAAAATGCCAGAGAAGTGGAGCTCCAGGGAAGCAGCCCTTCTCAGGAAAGTCCTTTTACTTGGACCTTCCTGCTGGTGACACTCTCCAGTTTTTGACGGGGACCATCCAGCAGCTGGGAGGGGTATGTAATCTGCATCTACTGCCCTGCATTGTAGGACAGGAGCTGGATTGGGGTCTGTCTCTGATGTCCACATATTCCCAGTGGACTCAGGATTGATCTCCAGCGTCCCATATGGTTCCCAAGAGTAAGCCATGAGCACTGCTGGTTGTGGCCCCCAAATAAGCAAAAACAAAAAATTCATTTCTGAAAGCAGTGTTTTTTTTTTCTTTTTGGATCACACCTGGTGATGCACAGGGGTTACTTCTGGCTTTGCATTCAGGAATTACTCCTGGCAGTGCTCAGGGGACCATATGGGATGCTGGAAATTGAACCTGGGTCGGCCACATGCAAGGCAAATGCCCTACCCACTGTACTATAGCTCTAGCCCCCACTGAAAACAGTTTTAAGTGATTTTTTCCCCACAGTCAGACAGTGGATAGTGCGTTCACTGGCCAACTCGGGTTCAATCCCCGGCATCCCATATGGTCTCCCCGAGCATCTCCAGGAATAAGTCCTGAGTACAGAGCCAGGAGTAACCCCTGAGCATCACCGGTATGACCCAAAAAGAAAAAAATACATATATGTGGCTGTTTCCTCAGGACTCACACTTGTGTCTGCCTTGGACGGGTGGGGTGGGAGGGCTGGAGACCTCCCTCGTGCATCTAGCAGTCGTTGATGCAGCAGCGGGGTGGCTGCTGGGCTCCTCGGAGTCTGAGAAGCAACCTTGGGGTTTTGTCTGGCTATGCCCTCGGCATGGCTTTGGGATGATGGACGCTGTGGTCCCGGAAAGGAGAGCTCTGAGGTTTCCTGAGGCTTGTACTCTCAGACAGAGCTGAGAGGATGGAAACCAATTCCACATCGGGCTGCGAGGAGCAGAGGAGAGTGTTCTCCTAGACAGACAGATGGACAGACGGACAAACAATTCGGGGCCATTCCTCCGTCTCCTGCATTGTCTAAGATGGGTACTACCTTCTCCCCACCCTCTCACACTTGTTTTTGTCATACTCAGAGGGAAGGCACACCCCTTCAAGTATAATTTCTATTATTCTGTTTGCTGGGGACTACTTCCAGTGCTCAGGAGCTGCTGTGCTTGGGTTTCACACCCCACAGTGCTGGGCACACCTGAGGCTCCATATACATCTCTGTGCTTGGGTCTTTGAGCTCTCCCTGGCTGTCTTCAGTGTGTATCTTTAAAGATTACTTTTTGAGTTGTGATGTGTTTTGAGTTCTCGTTTCATTGACATTGGTTACATCAATACGTAATCATTTCCCTTCCCCCACTGTCCCACTGTGCTTAGCTCTAATCTCCTTTGTCTTTTTTTGCGGGGGGGGGGGGGTTGGGGTTGGGGGGACCACACCTAGCAGTTCTCAGGAGTTATTCCTGGCTCTGTGCTTAGGAGCGACACCAGGCAGTGCTCAGGACCATGTGCAGTCCCAAGGGTCAGACCAGGGTCGGCCACATGCAAGTCAGGCCCTGTCTCTCTGGCCCACTTTCTGTCTTTGAATTTTCTCGGCACTGCCCATCAATGGACTCGCTGCTGTTTGTCCTTCTGCGTCTGTTGTTGCATTTAACAGCGCTTTCAGGATTTGTCTGTGGAGCCGGAGCCAGAGAACATCCAGAGGGCCACACTGAGTGATCCTGTCCTTCTGTTCCCGGCCGTCTGGCTGCTTTCCACTTTCTTGCTACTGTCACTAGCATGGCAGTGAACATTGGTCTACGCGTATTTCTTCAAGTTCCTGTTTCTCATTTGTGTGTGTGAGCATGTGAACACATGTGAGCGTGTGTGTGAATATGCATGTGAGTACATGTGAGCACATGTGTTTGAGTGTATGAGTACGTGTGTGAGTGCATTATGAATGTGAGCACAAGTGTGATTGCATGTGAGAATGTGTGAGTGAGCACTGTGGTTCTATATGAGTGCATGTACAATTGAGCGCATGGGTGAATGTGTGAGCATGTGAAAGCACATGTGTCATCATGTGTGAACATGAGTACTTGAGTGGGAGCACATGAGTGAATGTGCATGAGTACATGTGAGTGCATATATGATCACGTGTGATAATATCAGTGTTTGGGTGTGAGCACATGAATGTGAATGTGTGTATATGTGCATGTAAAAATCACATATGTGAGCATGTGCATGTAAAAGCACATGTGTGAGCACATGTGCATATGAAAGCGCATGTGTGAATGTGTGTGTATGTGACCACATGTGTGTGCATGCTGTGGAATGACTGAGTTGAGCAGGAAAAGAAACCAGCACTTCCGTGAAAGAAGTTCAGGCTCCTTTATGACCTTCGAACTCTACTCCGTACCATTTAACCATGGGCATTAAAGACAGGAGTGAGGTGATAGTACAGCGGGGAGGGTGTTTGCTGCACGCAGCCAGCCCACTTCAATCTCCAGTACCCCATACGGTCCCCTGAACACGCCTGGTATGGCCCCAAAACAAAATGTGTATGCATGTGTGTGCATGTGAGAGCATTTGAGAGCGCATGTGTAAGCATGCTTGAGCACATGTATGAACATATGTGGTGTGAGTGTGAGAATGTGTGAGTGTGTGAGATGTGTCAATGTGTACACACTGGGGTCCATCCCAGGGCGCCTGCAGCCAGAGCATCAATGCTCCATCCCTTTGGGCCGCCTCCTGGGCATCATTTTTAGTTCTTTGCCTTTTGGGGGTGGGGTGTTGTATACTTTTTGGTTTGGGGGCCAGGCCTGAGGTACTCAAAGGCTTCTCCTGGCTCAGTGCTGGGCTGGTGGTGCTCAGGGACCGTGAGGTGCTGGGATTGCACCGTGTGCTCACCAGTGAGCTGAGTTTCCAGTCCTGAAATAAGTAGCTTGTTTTATCTTTTTGTTTTTTGGGCCACAATGGCAGTGCTTAGGGCTTACTCCTGGTTCTGTGCTCAAGGATCACTCCTGGCTGGCTTGGGGGACCATTTGGGGTTCCCGGGATCACATCTGGGTTGGCTAGGTCCAAGGCAAATGCCCCACCTGCTGTATTATTACTCCAGCCCTGAAATAAGTAGCTTTATTTAGGAAATAGGAGAGGGAGCAGAAGAGGAAATTGAATGTTCCTGTTTTTATCGTATTTTATTTTGGATTTTTGGGCCACGTCCAGCATGTTCCGGGAGCTCAGTGCTCTGAAGTTGCATGTGACAGTGCTCAGGGGACAGCATGGTGCTGGGAGCGGACCCCAGGCCTCCTGCATGGACAGCATGAGCTCCAGCCTGTGGGGCTCTCACTCTGGCTCTTTTTTCATTTTTTGTTTGTGTTGGAGCCACACCTGGTGGAGCTCAGGGGACCATATGGGGTACTGGAGATCAAAACCTGGCCAGCTGTGTGCAGTAATAGCCCCTCCTGCTGTACTATCAACTCCCCAACCCCCAGCATGCGCACACACACTCTCTCTCTCTCTCTCTTTCTCTCTCTCTCTCTCTCTCTCTCGTTTTTATCATTCCTGGGCTTAAAGAGTTTGGAAGTCATGCAGGAGCCTGAGCTTCTCTCACTGAAGTGCTGGTTTCTTTTCCTACTCCCCTCAGAGCCATTCTGGGGTCCGGATCTGGCTCCTGAGGTGTTGGCATCTCTTCCCAGTTCCGCATTCCACAGCCATGAAAGGGGTGGGTCCCGCCGAAACCCAGCTCGCCTTCTGCCAGGAGTACTGCCCACTCCCCTCTTGCTGCCTCCCAGTGCTCCCTGTTGCTCTCCAGTGCTCCTGCTCGCTGTTCCCACGTGCTCGCTGCTCTTCCCCCCTGCTTGCTGCTCCCCCTTCCTCCCTACTGTTCACTGACATTGTTTCTCCTTCCTCTGGCTCTAGCTGGGTCTCTGTACTTCAGAAAACTCCTTGGATTCTTGGGACACAGAAGTAGGTCAGACCTACCCACTCCATTCCCACGAAGGGCTGGCGGGCTGGTGAGCAGACCCCAGGAGACCCTAGAGTTACAAACACCTGTTGTGTTGACTGTTTTTGTTTTGGGGTGACACCCGGCAGTACTCAGGGCTTATTCCTGGCTCTACACTCCGTGATCATTCCTTGCAGTGCTTGGGACCATATAGGATGGCAGGGATCGAACCCAAGGCGACTGTATGCAAGACAAGCGCCCCATCCACTGCACTATCATTATGACCCCCTTTCATGTCCTTTTTTTTTCTTCCCTGTTCTTTTTGCTTTTTGGGCCACACCCAGCAATGCTCAGGGGTTACTCCTGTCTCTGTACTCAGGAATTACTCATGGCGGTTCTTGGGGGACCATACGGGATGCTGGGGATTGAGCCTGTGTCGGCCACAAGCATGGCAAATGCCCTACCCACCGTACTATTGCTCCGGCCCCTCCCCTGCTTTTTGGGTCACACTCAGCAATGCTTAGAAGTTACTCCTGAAAAAAAAAAAGTTACTCCTGGCTCTGCACTCAGCAATTACTCCGGGTAGTGCTGGGGGACCATGTGGGATGCCGGGGATTGTACCCGGGTTGACCACATGCAAAGCAAATGTGCTCCCCACTGTACTGTTGCTCCTGCTCATTTCCTTTTTCCCCTCCTGGTCCTGAGATCAGCACAGTATGAGCAGTGACCGGATGGGCCAGCATGTCCTCGCACCCTGACTGCTGCCCCAGCATGGCAGGCCGCCCAGAGCATCACGGACAGTCCCAAACTGTGTCATCCGTGAGGCCCGTTCTGCTCCGTTCTGCTCCCGAGTGTGGTCTTCTAGGGCTCAGTGCTGCGTTTGACTTTCTCAAAGATGGTTCTGGAACCTCACAGCCAAGGGTGAGGTTGGTTTTGATGATTCTACATCTGGCTCCCTTTTTTTTTTTTAATCTGGTTTCAGGTAATTGAGGGTTTTCTAAGCAAAGAGGTAACTTACATCGTGTCCAGCCGCCTGGAGGCAAAGAGGGAGAGCCTCAAGGGGAGCCCCAGGAACTGCCCCAGCCCCGGGGAGGTCAGAGTGGAGACCCCCTCGTCCAGGGCACCTCCAAAAGGCAGCCCCACCAGACCTGTCCTGAGGCCTAACAGCTCGGTAAGGACCTTCTGGGTAGGGAAGGAGAGCAGCCCCTCAGCCTTTTGCCCCCTCATCTCCCTCCTCCCTCCCTTTCTCCTTCCCTCATCCCTGTCCTTCCTTTCTCTCCCCTTCCCCCCTGCCCCTTCTGCTTCCTCCCTCCCTCTTCCTCTTTCTCCCTTCCTCCCTTCCTTCCTCCTCCCTGCCCTTCCTCCCCCCTCCACTCCTACCCTCCCCCTTCCCCTCCTCCCCTCCTCCCTTCCTCCATCCCTCCCTTCCTTCCATTCACCTTCCCTCTTATATTTGCCTGTGATGCTGGAGAACAAGCCTAGGGCCTCGCACATGCATGCTTGTGTTCCACCAGAGCCAGATCCCAGTCCTATATCTTTATAGCCATCTTTCTCGGGGGTGCTCGGGGGCCACCCAGGGCTGGGGGTTGAACTCGGGGCCGCCTCCTCCAGGTATGGGCCCTGCCGCTTGAACCATATCCCCAACCCTGGGGGGAGTTTTCATCTCTCTGCTTTATTTTTTGGTTTTGGGGGGGGGGTCACATCCAGTGATGCTCAAGGGATTACTCCTGGCGGTGCTCAAGGGAGGACCCTGTGGGATGTTGGGGATCAAACCCGGGTTGATTATGTGCAAGGCAAGAAGCGCCCTACCCCTCGTCTGCTTCATTTTTGTCTCATTTTTGAGCCAAGTGGCCCGACCACTGTGCGCTACTCTGGGTCTCAGCGCTCAGCCGGCCGCACACTCGCCGCTCAGGGTAGGACAGTTGGTCTCAAGTCCAGACTGCGCGGGTGGGGGGGCTGGGTGCTATGGGTCAGGGCCTGTGTTCGGGTGTCAGCTCTGCCTGGGAACAGGACTTGACTTTCTCCCCTAGGGTTGTCACCTGGGGGGAGTGTCAGCCGCAGCTGGCTGAGCTCTGGGACCCATCCCCTACTGTGTGGTCGTCGGAGTGACACCGGGCGGTGCAAGTGGGCAGCAGGCCAGCGCCTTGCCCTGGACGTCTCTGGCCCTACGTCCTTGTTGCCTCACTGGGGCTGCCAGTCAGATGTCTGTGAGTTCTGGCCTTGTGGCGCAAGACTTGTGGCGTGGGACAGGCTTTGTCGACGCTTCTGAGGACGAGCGTTTGAGCGTTGCCAGAGAAGGCAGAACCTCCTGGAGGAAAGGCTACAGGGCTGTCACCGTCCCCCAGACTCTTTCCCACCCGGGTCCCCCCTACCAGGGCTGTAACCTGGACCCCACCTACTCCTTGGGAAGCTCCCTGAGGCCACCTCACCAGCCCTGAGGAGGTGCCTCTGCCCATGGGTCCCTTACACCATCCGCCCTGCTCCTGTATCCCCACCAGGCACCCCTGAGCAGAGGGAAGGAGCTGCTGAGAAAGGCCGTCGGGAGCCAGGTGGGTCAGCAGCAGCTGGCGGGAGGCACCTGCGTCCTCGGTTCCTCCGGTTCCTCCGCACAGAGGCAGACGCAGAGCGCAAGGGGCTTGAGCGCTGGTCGGGGTCAGCTACAGCCCAACATCAGGTCGCCCAGCACTGCACCTCTGCCATCGCCCACCCGTGGAAGCCTGAGACCTGGCTGACCAGGAGGACGGGGAGCGCTGAGCAGGCCACGAGGATGTGGGATCAGGAGGAAGAGGGCACAGGAAGGGGAGCTGGGCCAGGGGGCTGGTCCCCAAGGAGGGGGCGGGTGTTTCTGGGACTCAGGGTGGACTCTCGGAGCACTACGCTCTACCCCGTGACCTGCCCACCGACGGCCCCCATCTCATGGAGAGGACCCCAGGTTTGCAAAAACCAGAACAGACCCCGGCAGCTCAGGCAAAGCAGGCGGGGTGTGGGGGTTCCGGTCTCACTGGGCTTCCTCATTCCAGGGGAGCAGCTGCAGCCTTGTGAGCCAGGCCCGCGCCTGGGGAGTGAGGGTCCTGCATGTGAACGGTATGTGGACAGTATGACCAGGAGGGCAGCATGGGGAGGGCGGGGGCAGCACCGGGCACAGTGACCCCGTGCCAGCAAGTCAGCTGGAGTGATGGTCCTGCTCTCCAGTGGCCCTTGCTGCAGTGCCCCTTTGTCCCCTGGGGTTCGGTTTGATCCCAGGCACAATGTGATTCCCCGAGTCCCACCAGGAGTAAGTCTGGAACACAGCCAGCTGTGCCCCAAAGACAAAAAGGAAAATGATCTTCCCAGAGCTGGGTAGTGCGGCCAGGAGCCCACCCCCACCTTCAGTGGAATGTGCCCCAGCACCTGGTCCTCCGGCCTGGGGTCTGTGATGGAGCGTGGGGAGCTGACCCTGGTGTCCCCTGGGCCTGCACCGTCCCCCTTTACCAGGAGGGTGGAAAACTATGTGCAGGAAACTCATTAATGGGGGGTGGGGGGGGTGCCGGCCTCTCTGAGAAATGACTCAGTCCTGACTCCCGTTTCCTCCCTGCGGTCTCTGCAGGTGCAGAGGTGGCACTGAGCCAGCAGGTGGCAGGCGAGGCTGGAGTGAACTGGGGCCCGGCCGGGAGGGGTGGGGTTGGGGGTGGGATGGGGCCGGTGAGGTGCAATCCCGCCCCGGGACGCTCTGGGTGGACGAGGACCAGAAGCCTTTGGCCGCAAGGACACCGTTGTCCACAGAAATGATGGCGCGTGTGCAGCAGCTCCCCCTGAACACGCTCTGTGGGACAAGGCAGGGGCCGAGGAAGCGCCAGGTCAGTGTCCCGCCCAAGGGACGGTCTTCAAAGTGATGTGAGGATGGTCCCCTGGCACGCTCCACCCGGTACGGTACCCCCGTGCATGCCCAGCCCCTGCCCTGGCACACTCCATGGGGGCTCCCGAGGTCGAGGGCAGTTGCCCGCTCAGCTCTCGCTGGGGCCCTGCTGGCCACAGGCGGCAAAGTGGGCCAGACGGGCAGCCGTGCGGCTCCTCGGGCTCTGCGCCCGAACCCCCCTGGCTCCTCTCATCTTTAACCTATTTTCCCATCCCACGTAGGGAAGCTGTCCAGCCGCAGAGTCTAGAACGCGGAAAGGTCAGTGTGGCAGTCTCCTCGTCTAATCACCGTCCCTCCCTCCCTAAACGCTGCCCCGGACTCCCTCTGCGGCGGCAGCTGTTCACTTTGCTGTGGCAGGAAGTGAGTCCAGGCCCTGCTGTCAGGTGGGGGGGAGGCATGCGGCCAGGGACGGCCAGGGCTACCCCCCATGCCAACGCCCCACATGGCCACACTGGCTCAGGGTCCGCTGACCAACGCTTCTCGGGCTGAGCTCCGGTCTCCTCTGCCTCGGGATTCAGGGGCAGCTGGGACGGGCTCTTTGCCAGCTGCCCGCCACTCAGAGATGCCAGGCTCCCAAAGCTGACAAGCAGCTCGCCAGGCTCCCTCCCGGACACACAAGACTTTGTCCCCCCACTGGAAGTTTCTCCCTAAAGATGCCCTTGGAGTGGTATATGTTTCGTGCACACGCAGAAGCTAAGAAAAGTCCCTTGGTACCTCTCCTGTTCGAAAGGCAAGGAAATCTGGGGGGGGGGGATGGATTTTAATCACTGTCAGTTAATTAGAAAGATGAGAAATCGCCCCCGAAAAGTAATTAAGGGGCGCTGCCGCGCAAGGAGACAAGCTGCTTTCAGCCCAGCTCTGATACTGCCTCGTGCCAGCCATGAGCCGCTGGGGCTGCCCCTTGTCAGGTCCAAGCTCAGCCCCTGCTCCAGAGCTGGGAGGCACCCAGACAGCAAGTGGGAGGGGCTGAGCCTCTTGATTAATTGAGTCTGAAGTCGTCTTCCCAGCACCCCCCTGCCCTATTTTTCATGACGCCAGATATTCCCTCCTGCTGTTTTTTTCTTACTGCCCTCTGCTAAGACCTCTAAACGCCTTTCCTTCTGTCCCCTCTGAGGCCCTCAGAGAAGCCCAGGGTTAGGCAAGAGCCTGACCATGGCAGGGAGGCACCTGACTTACATGTTTTTGACCCATTTGATCTGCACCCTATAAGCCTGCCCAGGGCACAGAGCTGGGAATAAGCCCTGAGCGTTTGCCCCCCAACAAAAACCAAAACAAAGTCCAAGATCCTCCTGGACACTTTCCCTGAAGGGTGCCCGCAGGCCCTGGAGTCTCAGGAGGAGTGGGGAGGCCTGAGGCTTTGAGAGGCCCACAGAGGTGGGGCGGAGCTGAAGCACCTGCCGCCTGACACCCACCAGGTGGAAGGCTGTTTGGGGCGAGCGGGTGGCTAATGCCTGCCTCCTCCTTGCAGTGGCCCAGCTGCAGGCGCCTTTCCTCAAGGTCGAAGATGAGAGCAGGTCAGTACCATTGCCCCTCCAGGCCTGCAAGGAAGAAGGAGTGCTTGGGGCCCGCCCCCCCCATCCTTCCCTAACCTGGGGTCAGGATCGGCCCTGGGGCCCTTCACCTTCATTCCTGGAAGCCACTTTCTCCCCTGGTCCAGGAGGTGCCCCAGAGGGTGGCCTGGCCCAGTTGGCGCTGCCTATGGAAGGTTCGTGCCCTTGTGCCACTTGCCCCCTCCACCCATCCAGGCTCATTCCAGCCCAGTGGACAGGGACTCTGAGCTCCCTGCTGGGGGGGGGCACACCCTTCCCTGCAGGCAACTGGGAGAGGTGAGCAGGGCCTACCCCCTCCTGCCCCGCAGGGCCTTGTCCCTCTGGGCCTGGGGGCCATCTCCTCCTTCTCTCTAGCACATTGATGTGAACCTGGTGAGTTGTTAGCCACTTGGGTGATTCCAAACCCTTTAGTCGGCCTCGGAGCAAACGTCCCCCAGAGGGACCCAAGTGATAACTAAGCTGAAGGACCTGCCCCGTGCAGGAGGTATGGGTTCGAGTCCCGGAACTGCTCAGGGTCTGGGAGACTCTGGCCCATTGGCTGTGTTTCCTCTGAAGCGATTCCCCTGCTCTGCAATGTCCCACTCATGCCAGGGGCTTGCTGCCCCTGAGCACGGGTTCCCAACTCCACCTAGAGAGGCTGCTTTACCATCTGGCCCCACCATCAGCCTTGGAATCATGGGCGATGGTCAGAGCTGGACGTTTTCTGTTGCAGGAACTTCCGCCCTTGCCAGCATCAGTTTAAAACCTTTCCCGAGCTCTCTTTCCTGGGACCCAAAGAGGCAAGTCCCTTTGAGGCGCTGCTGTCTCCAGGCGGCTCGCGCCCAGACAGGTGGGTCTTTCTGGGATCCAGATTTCCCAGGGCTGCTCTGGGCCCGAGTCCTTCCCCTGGGGGCCCATGTGGGGCACTTCAGGAGTGACCGGGTGTTCGCACTTCAGGCAGAGTCTGTTCTGGGAACTTAGCCCAGAGAAGAGAGACAGGTCACGTCATCTGTCCTAGCTGGTGCTCTCCCACCCCGCTGAGACACCGTCCTCTGTCCCCAGGACAGGAGGCTGGTGTCTGAGGCCCCATCACAGGTCTGTCCTCTTAGGAATGCACATTCCCAGGCCAGGCCAATGGCACAAAGGGCTGGAACACAGGCTCCAGATTTTTTTTTTTTTTTTTGCATTTTAGGAGGTCACACTTGCCGATGCTCAGGGGTTACTCCTGGTTCTGTACTCAGGAATTACTCCTGGCAGTGCTTGGGGTATCATATGGGATGCTGGGAATCGAACCCGGGTTGGCTGCGTGCAAGGCAAATGCCCTACCCGCTGTGCCGTCACTCAAGCCCTGAGAGGCTCCATATTTGGCTCCCTTCCCCTACCTCAGCTTCACCAGAGTGGCTTCAGTGGCTTCCAGCACTGCCAGGAGACCCCCAGGAATGTATCCAGACCCCAGCAAACTGAGCATCTCAGATGAAGCCCACAGCTGCGTCTGCACATGTTTCTAGGCCTAGTTTCTGCACATCAATCCTGCGCACTGGGCTGAGGGGCCAGCCACAGCACATGGCTGGGACCCTGTGGCTCCATGTCAGGGCATCTGAGGGACTGTGCAGAGGAGCAGGGTCCGGGCGAGGGCTCCAGGCTGCTAGAGCCGAGCTCACGGGATGCAGAAACTCGTAAGCCATGGAGTCAGGGGAAGGAGCGAAGCAGCCAGGGCCCGGGGGAGGGCTGAGAGGCAGCTGGGCCCGAGCCCGACTCGGGCTCAGCAGCAGAAGCGGGGTTACACCCGAGAGGTGAGTCAGAGAGTCAGAGGGGCTGTCTGCGAGAGGCGCAGAGGGGGCCGGCCCAGGATTCCCGTGTGTGTAGAAGGTCTGCGTGGGAGGAAACGTTTCATTTTTTTTTTTATTATTGAATCATCATATTCCGTCTCAAAATGCAAGCTACAAAGGATGTAAAGAGAAGTCTGTGCCCCACCCAGGCGCCTGCCTCCCTGGGGACCTGGAGTTCTGGGTGGCCTGTCCCCATCGCTCTCCCCGCAGAGAACGGGCCTCTGGCTTCACCTGACCAGCTCAGCCAGCTCCCCGCTCACACCTAAGGCCCATCTCAGTTCCTTTCACAGGGCCCCTGGTATTAGATTCTTTTTTCTTTTTTTGGGTCACACCCAGCAGTGCTCTGGGGTTACTCCTGCTCTGGACTCAGGAGTCACTCCTGGTGGTCCTTGGGGGACCATATGGGATTCTGGGGATTGAACCCAGGTCAGCCATGTGCAGGGCAAATGTCCTACCCACTGTACTATCACTTTGGCCCTCCCGGTATTAGATTTTATGGTTTTCTTATGCTTCCCATCATACCCACAGCTTAAGACCCTGCATGGTGGGGGGAGCAGGGGCCGGAGTGAGAGTACAGAGGCTAGGCCACTTGCCTTCCATGCAGCTACCCCAAGTTCGCTCCCTGGCAAACCCATATGGTCCCTGAGCTCAAGAGTGATCCCAGATCTCAGAGCCTGGAGTAAGTCCTGAGCACTGCTGGGTGTAACTCCAAGACAAGAATAAGAAGAAATAAAACAGCATGGACTTGGATTTCTGGACTTTTGTTTCTCCTGAGTTTTGTATCATGCTTAAGAAAGCCCACGAGGGGCTGGAGCGATAGCACAGCAGGGAGGGCGTTTGCCTTGCACTCGGCTGACCCGGGTTCGATTCCTAGCATCCCATATGGTCCCCCCCGGACACTGCCAGGAGTAATTCCTGAGTGCATGAGCCAGGAATAACCCCTGAGCATCGCTGGGTGTGACCCCCCAAAACAAAACAAAACAAACCCACAAAGGGAAGAGAGCTAGAGAGACAATGACAGCAGGGCAGTGCTCACGAGCACCTCGGGTCCAGCCCTGGCACTCCAGATGCTGGCCAAACCTGCTGGGCAGGCTGAGGGTTACCAGGAGTGGCCCCTGTGCCTCCTTAAGCACTGGGAGGCACCTCTCCCTAAATAAAAAGGAAAAGAAGTGATGGGGGGTCCTTGGAAGAGAGGCTCTGGGCTGACAGGGAAGCAGGCAAGACTGCCGTGCTGGGTGGCGGTGGCTGGCGGGTCAGGCCGAGGGCACCAGGCAGCTGGGAGGGCCCACCAGGGAGTCTGACCACTGCCAGCCTGTGGTGTGTGGGGCGGGCAGGTCAAGGCCGGAACTGTTGGCCCAGCTGCACCCGGTGTGGCCTGGACTGCTGGCGCCACGGCTGGCTTGGCATCCCCACCCCGCCCCCTTCTCCCCAGAGAGCCCCGGGATGCAGAGACCAGCCCAGGCTCGGGCGCCCGGAGGAGGACAGGCTACTGCGAGTGCTGCCAGCAGGCCTTCGAGGAGCTCCACGGGGTGAGTGTTCCCGTGTCCCCAGCTTGGGTCACAGAACCGAGCTTCCACGCCACATCCGGGCCACTCACCCGTGCCTCTCCCACCCCCAGCATCTGCAGAGCGCCCAGCACCAGCGCTTTGCCCGGGGAGCCCAGTCCTACGCAGAGGTGGACGGGATCATTGCCCAGCTCTGCCCTGGCCTCACAGGCATCCGAACCCAGGCCCACCTGCCCAGGTGAGCGCTGCCCCCTCTCTGTAGGACCAAAGGATGGGAGGTTTATTTCTTCTCTCGATTTGGGCAAAAAGACCTCTACTGGGGGCTGTGACCCATTGGGCCTGGGTACCCGTGAGCAGGAGGTGAAGCCACGGTGGAGTCAGAATTTGGCACTTGTGCCCAGCGAGGGTCTGGTGAAGCAGGGAGGGTCCCTGGGTTCCAGGAGAGCAGGCGTGGGATTGGGGGTCCGGGAGCCCAGCAGCCGGAGTTGCTGAGGCTACACCTCTCCCTGCCCTCCCCCTCGGGGCTCGCTCTGTCACTCGGCCTGGGCTCGGTGCTTCCTCCAGCCGCCAAAGGGCACAGCCTGGCGCGCTCCGGTATGGCCTCGGAGCTGGTTCCTAGCCAGCCCCGACCACACGCTGCAGGGCTAAGTGGGATGTAGCCAGCGCAAGAGCAGGTCTTCCTGGGCTGAAGAGTAGACACCAGGCCACTCTGCCCCCTGCAGGTCTGTGCCGGGTGGAGTCCTGGGACTATTGGGTGTCTGTCCCCGCAGGCAGCCGGGCTCCCTGCCTCAGGATTCTCACCCCCTGGGATCGGAGACTGACAGCCAGACCCCTGACCTTGGGGCTACCTGTCCCAGGACGGAGGAACCAGAGGAGCAGTCGACCCCGGGGCCCCAGGAGTGGACTCGAGGCCACCTGCAGGCACCCCCTGAGACCGTGGGCACTGGAGAGACCCTCACACCGGGAGCCAGCTGACAGGCCCCACAGGACTGGGTCTGTGGGTCTGTGTGCCCCCCCCGGGGGTGCCTGGTGCCCAGCTCTAGCGTTGTGGGTCACTCTTCTGGTTCAGACCTGGCACCTAGGGGGCACGGGCAGAGGGTCTGGTTCCCCAGCATTGACACTGAGCAGACACTCACCATGTGCCCTCTGACTGCCTGCCTCCTGCCCCTGTGGCCTCAGGACAGCCCAGGGCAAGCCCCTTCCCTTCCTGTGTACCTCTACCTGTCCGTGTCGCGCCCCCAGACCAGCCTCTCCAGACCAGCCTCTCCGTGCCGAGCCCCCCTCCCCTGGCAGCCCACAGGTGGGCCGGCCAAGCTCCGGCCAGGTGGGGTCTGAGTCCCCCAGCTCCTGAGAGCCCCCGGAGGTTCCCAGGCCCTACACTCGGGCGAAGGTCACCCATCTGCGGAGCGCGGCCCCCCAGCCCTGGCTGAGCAGGCGACAGCAGCGCCCTGGGCCTCCCACGCACAACCAGAAGGTGCCCAGCAGGAATCCGGCGGAGCTGTGGGGGTCCACGCCGCCAGCCCTCCGCCCCCCATCTGCCCCGGGACCAGAGCTGGGCGGAGCCCCGCCTCCCGGGTCTGCCTGCCTCGACGGCCTGGCCTGCAGCGGGCGACAGGCAGCAGCCCTCGCCAGGGGGAGACCAGGTTGGCGGCGGAGCCGGCCTGGCTTCCGGTGCCCGCCCCCCAGCAGGTGCCCACCCCCAGCCCTGGCCTCCTTTGCCACCAGCATGCGGCTCCTGAGCGAGCCTGGGCGCGGCCCCTCCCCCCACCCCCCACGCTGCGCACAGATCTGGGAACAGACGAAGCAGAGGAGGGGCGGCTGCTGCGGCGTCCCGCCCCCGGCTGGGCGCTGGGGGCCGCGCTGACCTGGCCCCCTCCGGGGATTCCTCGGCCCTGCGGCCCCAGTCGCCTGCCTTGAACTGTGCCTTGGCGCTCCAGCTCACCTGCCAACTTGGGCCTCCCGGCCCCTCCCCTTGCCTCCCCCTCCCCAGGGGCCACCCCCCCCCCCCTTTCTTTCAGCCGAGCCATTAATCTGGAGACAAAGATGGGTTTGCCATCGATTCTTGAGCCACTTTTTTTTCCTTTTTTTTTTTTTTAATTCCGCCCTGTGGTTCTCGCCCTCCTCTGCCTCTCTGTGTTTGTCTCTTTAAATGCTGGAGCCGCTAGGAGCCTGGTGCTATTCTGTGTCTCATTTCCGAGGAGGCGAGGGGAGCTGGGCTGTGGGTGAGGACCTGAGTTGTTAGTTTGGAAATAGCGGGACTGGCCGTGAGTGTGCGTCGTGCGTGTGCAAGGCGCTTGCTTGGCCTCTCCATGCAGGTCCTGTTGGATCTGACCAGGAGCCTGGGCTTAGGGGAGGTGAATAAATTTGTGGGTGGCATAGCCAAGAGATGGGGTGTACCCGGTGGAGGCCTTGCACCTCTCTCCTGCACCCCAGGGCAGAGCCCCGGAGGAGTGGAGCTGGTGCCTTACTTAGGGGGTGCGCGTGCCCTCCTGCCCCCTCCCCTCGCACCTGCTGAGGCCACCCCTCTGGAGAGCTCTGTCCCCACCCCTGTCTCAGGCCACCTACCCTCAGGTGCTGCCCTCGTGCCCTGTCCCCTCCTTGCCCCGCGGTGCAACTTCCCGACCCAGCTAAGGATGGAGCCCCTGACTTCTGACCAAGCCAGAGGGGGCTGCCTGACATGCCCTGGGCTGTCAGGGCAGCCCAGACCTCCCGCTCCCTCCTGCTCAGCTGACCTTGACTCAGTCTGGCCACATCCTGTTCTCAGCCTTTAGTATCACCTGACTCCTGGGCAGGAAGGGGGATCCCTTCCGCCTGGCTCCAGCGCCCCTGCCACCTCCCACATTCGCCTCTGCCCCGGGCTCCCAGCTGGCCCCTCCAGAAGGCCCTGGCCTGGACTCGAGCTGGACAAAGCCTTCCCCTGAGCCTGGGACCTTCCTACAGCCTGGGTGGCGCTGTGCCCCATCCAGCTGCACAGAGCGCCACCCAGAGCGCCCAGCAGCCTGTGATGCCCAGGAGGGTCCGTCTCCTGCCCCACTTTCCCCAAACCCAGTGTTCTGGGGGCGCATGGTAGCCAGCCCCCTCCTTACCATGTCACTGAGGTGCCTGCCCTGAGGCATCTCCCAGAGCCTCAGGAGACTGTCTTGGGGGTGTCTCCACTGCACCCCAATCCTAGGCCAGGGACGGCCACTGGCAGCTCCCCACAGCACGTCTCTCCCTAGTGCCGGGTGGGGTGGCAGGAGAGTGAGCCACAGCCCAACCATGAGGGTCTTGGGCGAGGAGACCTTGTGCCTCAGTTTCCCCCTCTAGGAGAGGCTGGGATGAGATGTTTTCAGGTCCCTCCAGTAGCCGCAGGTGCCTTGACCTCCAGCCTGCTCCCACCTCTCACCCAGGAAGCGCCCCCACCCCCTCAGTCACTCCCACCTTCTCCATCTGTCCCGTCTGCAAGTCACTCCCTGCTGACCAGCCGCCCAGTCCTCCCCACCTGTGACCCTCCCACTCCAGCCTTGGCCACACACCCGCCACCTCTTGGGAGCCATGAAGCTCAGCCACGTGTGACTAAGGTGCCAGCACGTCACCCCGCAACACACACACACACACACACACACACACACACACACACACACACACACACGGGCCTGTGAGCTTCCCGCCAGCCCCTGTGGTAGCACCTGCTGTGCATACGGAGGCCAGGAGTCAGGCCTGGGACCCTGATCAGTGCCACTGCTGGAGCTGGAGGGACGCCTTGCGCCCCAGAGCTTCTCCAAGAAGCTTCTCAGAGATGGGTTCTCTGGGCACAGGGGCAGCCCCTGGAGGGACATTCAGATGATACAGAGGCCTCTCATGGAAGGGGTGGCCCTGTGCCCCCCAACCCCTGCAGGGAGTTCAGCACCAAGAATCCCAGCAGAGGGTCATAGACAAGAAGCTAAAGCTCAGAGAGGTTGGGCAGCCAGCTCAGGGTCACACAGCTATTGACTGGGAGCCTCAAGTCAGGCTCTCACTGCAGCCCCTGCCCCCAGCCTGCGAGCTCCTGGCTGCTCCTTGCAGACCTACTGGGCCTCACTTGGCAGGCACCCCAGCAGCATCCTGCCCCAGGATGGGGCAGCCGACACCCCCCCCCATATCTGCAGCTCCAGGGCCCCCTGGGCCCACTTGGCCCTCAGGGAAGGAAAATGTGAGGGAGGAACTGGCTTCAGGACAGGAGGAGGCCCCGGGCGTGGAGGGGGATCCTGAGAGAAGTGGGGGACAGAGCCTAACAAACAGCTCGCTGAGAGTGGCCGCCTCCAGCCTCCAGGCCACTGAGATTCTACAAGAGTCCATGGGAGCCCGCTATGGGGAGTCAGGCCCACCCCCTTCATAACCCCGGCTGACAGGGACACAGCAGCCGCCCTGGGGGAGACACTAGTTTTGGGGGCTACACAGGATGAAGGGAGGCTGGGGACTGGGGTGGCTCACATGCCCTGTGTGATCCCCAGCACCCCCAGATGTCACCCCCTGGCATTGCCTTGGCACCACCAGGGAAGGCAAAAAGGAAACAGAAGCCAGCGAACCTGCCTAGGCCTGCTCCAGCGTGAAGACCCAGAGACCAGGGGGCAAATGAATGAGCCCCCCCCCCCCCAGGAATAACACCAGAAGGCATGGCAGGAGGGGGCTCCAGCCCAGAGGCCTGGGTGGGCTACTGTCTCCCCCCATGTCCCAGTAGGACAGGGCGGGTCTGAAGGGAACCCTGGAGTTCGGACTGCTTGTCACTAACCGGCTGGGAGACTGGAGAGCTCAGGGAGCCTCAGTTTCCCCATCGGAGTGATGAGCCCATCCGTCCCTCAGGGAAGTGAGCTGCCAGGAAAGGCAGTGAGGCCCCTCCCCCAGGACCCACTGGCCCAGCCTCCTGAGCCTCTGGGGCTGGAGTGGCAGATGGATGCAGGGGACCGGCACCATCCCAGTGGATGTCAGCCCTCCCTGCCTTCTCACCTCTTCTGGGCCTAAAATAGAGTTGGGGTGGGGGTGGGGGGGCTGTCACAAGCCTGAGGCGGAAACAGAGGGAGCAGGAATGGGTTTCCGGCCTCTGGCCTCCACTCCTGCTCCTGAGGCCCTGAGCTCGCAGGGTGCTCTGTCTGGGGTCTAACCCCCACCCCCCCCCCCCGCCCCCCATTACTCAGGCCTCTGCTTCCTGGCATTGCGAACTGAGGTCAGAGCTGCCAGTTCCCGGAGTGGGGGGAGACCCTCTGCCCTGAATCCCAGGAGCAGGGCTGGAGCGGTGGGGGTTGTACAGTTGGGGAGGGAGGCTCGGGGCGAGAAGCTGGGTGCTCGGGAGGTGCGTTCTCAGAGATTGGCCCAGGGACGGGAGAGGCAGAAATGGGGCGCCGGCTAGTAGCGGAGGACGGCGGGAAGGCCAAGTCCCCGTGGTGCCTGGATGACGGCGGTCCCTGGAGTCCTCCCCGAGGCAGGGCTCAGATCCTGAGAAGGGTCTGGACCGAGGGTGTAGGAGTGGGCGCTGTCCAGTTTCCCCCCTCTCCCTTTAGATCTGAAACAGCCCCTGGGGGGGGCGGCGCAATGCCTAACGTGCCACACGGGGCAGGGCAGCACCCCCCGCAGGTCGCACAAGGCCCCCCCCCCCACAGATGGTGGCCCACGGCCAAAGCCAGAAAGGGGTCTCGGCCCCGGGACCCGGCCGCCACCTGCCCCGAGGCGGTGCCTCTTTTGTCCTCCCCTGGCGGGGGCGGGGCAAAACAGGGCCGGGGGCGGGGCCTACCTCCGGGGCGGGGCCTGGAGGGTCGGGCGTGGCGGGGGCCGGCGGGGCGGGGCGGGGCCGGGCGAGGGGGGGTGGGGGGGCGGCAGGGCCGGGCCGGGCGGGGGGCGGCGGGGCGGGGCCGGGGCCCGGCGGGGGGCGACGGGGGCGGCTGGGCGGGGGGCGGCGCGGAGGCCCGACCGGCTCACGTGCGCGCCGCCCCGCCCGCCGCCCCGCCCCCGCCTCCCGCCGCTCGCCCCGCCCCGCCCGCCCGCCCGCCGCCCGCCCGCCCGCGCCGCTCGCCGCCGCAGCCCCGGGCCCGGGGATTATGCTCGAGCCATGAGGCGGCTGCGGCGCTGCGCGACCGCGGCGCTGCTGCTGCTGCTGCCGCTGCTCCCGGCGCTCGGTGAGTGACCCCCGCTCTGCGGCGCCCGCCGCTGCCCGCAGTGCCGGTGCCGGTGCGGCACCACCTGTCCCCCTCCGGGCCGCCCGCCCCGGACAGCCCCCCGCCGCCGCCTGCGACTCCGCAGCGGTCTGCGGGGCTGGGGGTGGGGTGGGGGGGACAGTCGTGACAGCCGGGCAGCGGCAGGGCGCCCGCCCCCTCCCCAGCGGGCGCTGCCCTGCAAGGCAGCGGCTCCTGCGTCCGCGCCGCGGGAGCGCGGGAGCGCGGGGGTCGGGGCGCGTGTCCCTCGCGAGCCCCTCGTCCCCCGGGGGCAGCTGCCTGCAGCTACCACGGCCTTGTCTTCCCCAGGTTTCTGCGCCCAGGCTACTGTCGGAGCGCTGCGCTTTAAGGTGTCCCCCCAACTGCGGAGCCCGGACGCCCCCGAGGTCACCGAGCCTAGCAGGCTGGTGGGGAAAAGCTCCGGGGGAGAGGTCCGACGGCAGCAGCTGGACACCAGGGTCCGCCAGGAGCCGCCGGGGGGCCCGGTGAGTGGGACTCAGTGAGGCCCCAAGTAGGAGCCGGCCCTGGAGCCCAGAGGGGACAGGTGGGGGGTGGGGGCGCGTGCCCAGCTGCTGCCCTGAGGTTTCCCCTTCTGTGAAATGGGCAGTCAGCGGTGCCCGAGCCTCTAGTCTCTGCGCCCACCAGCTCCGCCCGGCATCCACCCCCTCCAACCCCCGTCCGTCGCCCTGAGGATCCCGCCCAGGGTGGACGGCAGGTGTCCGGGGCTCAGGGTAGCCCTGTTCCGCCGTTGGGCATGACCGCTCCTGCCCCCAAGGAACTGATCTATGCAGAGGCTGTGCCGGGACAGTGGGGGACAGGGAGAAGCCGCAAAGGAGCGCCGGGGTGAGACTGGCCTTGTCCCCCAGTGCACTTGCTTAGAACCGTTCAGTGCTTGCTCCTTGCCTCAGTTTCCCTTTCTGCGCTGGCAGGCCTGTTATTTTCCTTTCTATCCTCGCTGAGGGTGGAGGCCCTAAGCTCACCCACAAATACCAGCTCCCCCCCCCACCCCCCTCCCATCCTTTTCAGCCGCCAGGCCCCTTCTGCCTCCCAGAGGAAGGTTAGGAATGAAGGAGATTAATTGCAATTAATAATTAATTAATATCATGTGAATAATAATCGCCCAGCTGGAATATTCATTGAGCACGCGTCAGTTCTCCAGGAGCTGCAAGCTGCAAGTTAGCCAGGCCCGCGGGGGCGGGAGGGCTGGTGGGGAAGGCCTGGCAGAAATGGAGGTGCAGGAGACTGGGGTGCAGCCCAGGCAGGGAAGTTTTGGCAACTGGGAGCAGTGGGAGGGAGGACGGAGGGACGGAGGCTGACATTACAGACATCTGCCCGGCTGGCACCTGGCCCTGCCTAATGCACTTGGTTAAAAGCCCTCAAGGGGGGAGGGGGCTGGGGGGTGCAGGGGGGACTCGGGGAAATGGAGTGGAGCAGGAAGGCGGCATGCATAATAGATAGGCCGGCTCTCAGGACTGGCCAGTGGGAGGGGTGGGTAATGGGCTGAGGGGAGGGGGCGGGAGGCTGCCTCCGGGACTGCCCAGGCTCCCCAGAGGTCTGAGGTGGGGGTGCTGCCTGCTCAGTACCCAGGGAGGGGGTGTCCATCTTGCTTCCCTGGAACCCCCTCGCACCTGGGCACCCCCAGACTGTGATGGCCAGGACATCCTGCCTCCTGGGCCTCCTAGCTGGTATTTTAGGGGGGTTGTCCATATTGGGGGCAGAGCTCCCCAAATAGAAGGGTCTGACATGAGGGGCTGGGGAAGCATGAAGACCCGGAGACTCTTCCGGCCCAGTTCTTCTTGGAGAGAGATGAGGTTCTGGGATGCGGAAGTGCTATGTCCGTGTGGGGAGGGGGCACCGGTTATCTCTGGTGGAGCATCTCGGGATGGAGTCTTCCCAGGACCTGTTTGGCAGCCCCTGGGGGTCCTCACACAGCCCTGCCTAAACCTGCCTCAGCTTCCCTCACAGCACTACTCTCCCAGGTGCCGCTTGTGCTTGAGGGTGGGCAGGGCTCAGGAAGGGAGTACTGGCCCCACGTCCATCACCTCAACAGCAACTCTCCCCAAGATCAGAACTGTCTCCCGGCCCCCTCTGCCGTCAGGGACAGACTCAGGCACCCCAAGCAGGGCAAGGTCAAGGAAGACAAAAGGAGGTATCTGTCCGGCTTCGCTCCCCCGCAAGAAGGAGAAAGGGGGCCGCTGGCCTTGTCCCAGTGCATCGGCCTCCTGCTCACCCCCCTGCCCCTGCTGACCCAAGGAGCTGGAGGAGTGACCGGAGACAGGCGCTTCCTGGGCCCGACCCTGATCTGCCTTCCCAAGGTCCCTCCTGCAGCTCCCGCCTCCCGGGTGGGGGCCTTGGTGCCCCCAATCCACAGATAGGGGCATAGAGGCGGGGGGTCCACCGCAGGTCACACAGCACTCGGGTGTCTGCTTGCTCTATGATGTCCGGAGAAATTTTGTTTTGATTTGGGGGGTCACGCCTAGAAGTGCTTGGTACTCCTAGCTCTGTGCTCAGGGATGATGCTCAGTGGTGACCATCTGGGGTTCCAGGGCTGGAACTGGGATAGGCCACCTGCAAGGCAGGCACTGTACCCCCTGTCCTATCCCTCGGGCCCCCTGTTTCTTCCTGCGCAGGGGTGCTGGGAGGTGGGGGACTCCAAGGACCCTTTGCATCACCCTCATACCTGGCTTGTCTCGTATGGACGTGTGCAGAGAGGTGGGGGGCTTCTAGGTTCCCCGGGAGCTTGTAGCTGAGGGGAGACAGGCCAGTGTTGGGGCAAGGGGCGTTGCTCACTGCACAGGCCTATGGAGCAGCTGCCCGTGTCCTGGGGGGCCTCCCAAGGCACAGGAAAGCTGCTCTTCGGCCACGCTTTCCCGAGGGAACCCCACTCCTGAGGATCCCCGAAAGGGGAGGAGAGAAAGCTTAAACAGGGTGAGTGGGGACAGCATCGGGGGGGCCCCAGGCCTCGGGGAGGGGGCCCTGTCCCTGAGCTGCTGCAGGCGGGCCAGAGAGCCTGGGGGGGTCAGGGCTGTGTGGGCACGGGGGAGCGGGCAGCTGGGAGTCAGAACTCGGATGTGGGCTGCGCCGAACCAGCCCTGCTGGGGGCTGTGCCAGGGCTCAGGGCTGGGCTCAGGGCTGAGGCTCTGCGGAAGTGGCTGTGGTGCCTCGAGTCTCCCAAGGCCGAGCTTGGGGCGCCTGCCCGCACCCCAGGGTGGACTGGCGCCCTGCGTTGCCCACAGGAGTCCCAGCTGGAGCCCCCCACGCTGCCTGCTGTGACTCCCTAGAGGCTATTCGGGGTTCTGGGTGTTAGGGGGCGGCAGGTACAGCTGGGGGCTGGCAGGGTCAGGGCACCAGGGGTCCCTGCCAGGCTCCAGGGCGGGCCGAGTCCTGCACTCTCTCCAGCCAGGTTAGGGGGCCACTTTGGCTCTCCTCCTGACTGTCCTGTGTGTCCCCCAGGACCGTGGCCTGCCCCGGAGAAACTGCACTCAAATACGAGATCACATCCTGTCTTGGAAGTGGCTCTGGCTGTCCTCAAGGGCGACACTTTTTGTTTTGTTTGTTTGGGGTCACACCTGGCTGTGCTCAGGTCTTGCTCTTGCCTCTGTGCTCAGGAATCACTCCTGGCAGTGCTCAAGGGATCTTATGGGGTGCCGGGGATCGAACCTGGGTTGGTCGTGAGCAAGGCGAGCTCCTACCCTCTGGGCTATATCTCCAGCCCCAAGATTTGAAATTTTTTTTTTCTTTTTGGGTCACACCTGGCAGTGCACAGGTGTTACTCTTGGCTGTGCACTCAGGAATTAACTCCTGGCGGTGCTCCAGGGACCATATGGGATGCTGGGAAAAGAACCTGGTTTGGCCGCATGCAAGGCAAACGCCCCACCTGCTGTGCTATTGATCCAGCCCCCCAAGAGTTGAAATTCTTGCTGCTGCAGGCGACCCCACTATCCTGAGGGCCCAGGAGTTACGGTCGCCGCCCCAACAGGTCCCCTGCAGGCCCCCGCCTCTCTGTTCCTCCCTACTGGCCCAGTTTATCCCGCTCACAGACCCAGCAGGTCTTTACACTTCGTGCCTTCGCGGACGCTCTGGTTATGAGGCACTAGTGGGGTTCCAGGGGCCGGAGGGATGGGACAGGGGGGAGGGTGCTCACTGTCCAGCCCCCACCCCTGCCTGTGGTCCTAAGAGCCCTGCCAGGAGAGACCCCAGAGCAGAGACCCCCTGAGCACCGCCAGGCGTGACTCCCCCTCCCACCACCAAAAAGGGGTCTGGGGGGAGCTCTGGCTTGGGGGGCTGAGCGCAGGCTTTGCATGGGGGAGCCCAGGCACCGCAGAGTCCCTTGAGCATCCCTGAAGGACACCCCCACACTCTGCTGTGTGGCCCCCAAGCCCCCATCACCAGCAAAGCACACAATCCTCACGGAGGCCCATCCCGCTGCGTTTCCGTTTCCAGGAGACGAAACAGCCCCTGAGGCCTCTGTTGGCTCCCTGGCACCTGCTCTGAGTGCGTGGGGGCCGCAGGGAGGGGCGGTGTGGGGGCCGCGGTGGGGGGGGGGCACCAGAAGGTGTGGGGTCCAGGTGGGCGGGGCCAAGCTTTGCCCAGGAGGAACTGGTGGGTAACTGCGGGGCAGTGCCTGGAGGTGTGTGTGTGGGGGGGGAACCCTGCAACTTCAGTCTCCCCTTCTCGGGCTGCTGGTATAGCCTCAGTAGAGCCCTGCGGGTGGTGTCTGTAGTTCTGGGACTAGGAGGGGCCTGGCCCAGCCCCCCAAAAAACCTAGAAAGTGTCACAGGGAAGGCACAGCCTCTGCCCCAGGGACTCCAGCTGTTCTCAGGTTCAGCTGCACCCCACAGCATGGTCCCGGCACCCATCTCTAAGTGTCCCCCGAATTTTGAGACACGAGTACCAGATGGCGTGGTTTGGAGGGGTGGGTCGGGCCAAGCACATGAGTGCAGGCACCCGAGGAAGCGCAGGGCAGATTGTGCAGCTGTGGGCCAAGGACGGCAGGGGCCGGGTGCCCAGGGCGGGCGGGGGCCAGCCAGGGGAAGGCCAGGGCTGGAGGCTGGCCAGGAACTCTTTACTGGAACATGGGGTGGGGGCCAGAGAGGGAGAGTGAGTGGGGTAAAAGCGCCTACCTTGTCCCTGGCTGACCTCATATCGACTCCCTGAGCCCCCGCAGGAGTGACCCTGTGTCTCCACTTCCCTGGGCGTTGGGGGGTCTCAGGACTCTGGTACAGCTAGGACCCTGGGGTGCACAGGACTTGGGAGGGAGGTAGGCTGGTCTTTTCCTTTTTTAGCGGGGGGGGAGGGGGCAGGGAGGGTCCGCACTCAGCAGTGCTCAGGGGTTATCCTGACTGCACTCAGGACTCATTCCTGGCGGGCTTGGGTGGACTCTATGGGCTGCCGGGGGTCAGCCCAGGTTGGCCACATGCAAAGCAAGTGCCCTCCCCACTGTCCTGCTGCTCGACCCTGGCCTCTTCCTTCTGGTGCGGTTGGGGTGCAGCCCTGTGCCCCCGGGAGCGTAAGCCAGCCCTCCTTCCAGTACTTGGGCGGCCCCCTTGCTGGGATCGTGGTCATCTGTCCTGCAGGGAGGGGGCCACACAGCCGTTTGCCAGCGCCAGGGCCTCCGCAGGAAGTGGGGGTGAGGACAGGGTGTTTGCTCCCCGTCAGTGCCAAGATCCCCCACATGGGGGCTCAGCAAGGCCGGCACCACCAGGAGGCCAGATGGGTCGGCAGGCTGACTTCCCTGGGGAGCAGCAAGGAGATTCTGCACCCTAGGACGCCCCCTTCCGCCCACACACCGCACAGCCCCGCATCCCCCAACTTCCCCCTTCCTGGACCGAGGAGGGGCTCAGAAAGTTTGCAGCATCATCCCGAGGCTGCACAGCCTGGGAACGTGGAGCTGGGACGGACTGATGGGGTGGAGGGCAGGGTGTCCCAGTCAGGTGGGGGACGGGACAGGGGCCACAGAGGCCCGGCGAGGGGGCAGGTGGGGGCAGAGATGGTCCTCGCCAGCGGGGCGGGGAGGCGCCCCCTCACGCCCCACTTTCTATTTTGAGTATGAGTGATGTTGCAGGGGCCTGGACCAGTGTGTGGAGCTGGGTTGGTCCAGGCCAGCAGAGTGGGGGCGTCCGGTCCTTGAGATTAGGCTGCTCCCCTGCCCAGTCCTAGGCCCAGCTCGCCTGTCTCCGGGGCATCTCCCCCTTGCCTTCCCTTTGGGGTGAGAAAGCCCAGTGGGCCAGCAAGTCTGATTTCTAGGGCCTGAGGGCCCCCTCTGTTCTGGGCCTAGTGCCCCGGGGAGAGGCCTGGATGCTGCCCCCAGTGCAGGGGTGAGGGTCCTCACCTGGGCTTGGGGTTCCAGACCAGGGGGAGAGGAGACGCAGCCCCACGGCCTCTCAGGATGCCCACGCTTCACGCCTTTTCTTTTTTTTGCTTTTTGAAGTAAAAATAGTTTTATTTAGGAAATATGAGCACAGAGGAACTCCATGAAGAAAAAGAAAAGACTAACGTGCCCCAAGGGGGGATGTGAATGACTCCAGAGTGAGGGCTTTTTTTTTTAAACAATGTGTGTATGTGGTGTGAGCACCCGTGTGTTTGGTGTGTGGTTCACATATGTGTGATGTGTGCATGTGTGTGGTATGTGTGTGCGTGCACCTATGTGTATGCACATGTGTTATGCGATGTGTACACGTGTGTGTGGTATGTGTGTGTATGTGAGCGTGTGCGTGTACGTGTGTGTGTGTGTGTGTGTTGCCCAGGGCCCCAACGTACTGTAGATCTTTTCAAAAACCACCAGCTCTAGGAGTGCCCCCAGCGTTGTGTATTTCAGAACCCGTCCTTAGCCCCTGCTCCACCCCTCTTCTCTGGGGGTCGCTTTCCCCCCCAGACACGCCTACTTGGGCCTGAGTCCCCCACAGCCCATGCCCAGGGCTGGTGCGTTGTCATGACAACCGGTGCCTCCAGGCCCACTGCAAAGTACCCTCTGAAAAATTTATCAGGAAAACTTCCGTGTTTAAAAATTAACCATCGGATTGAAATATTAAAGATGAGCTGCTCTGGGTGAGGCAGAGGGCAACAGACGGGGTGCAGGAGCCAAGTCCTCTTCCTGAAAATCATCCCCACTTCCGGCCGCGCTCCCTCCTCCATCACGCCCGGGGCAGGGGCAGGGAGGGAGGCTCTGCTGGGGCCCCCACTCCAGATCCCTTGGGGGGGCTCCTTTGGGGGGTCATCAGGCAGGCCCATCCCTGCAGGCCCCAGACTAGATTTGGGGGGACTCAAGAACCGCCAACCTGGCCTGGCCCAGACTGTCCCTTGGGATCCCTTTAGCTGCTGGGCCGGCCCATCCTCTCTGCCCCTTCAGACCACCTCAAGCGTGACCCCCTTTGCCCACCCCCAGCCTGTCCACCTGGCCCGGGTGAGCTTCGTCATCCCAGCTTTCAGCTCCAACTTCACACTGGACCTGGAGCTCAACCAGTGAGTGGCAGGGGCAGGGGCTGGGAGGAGGCGGGGGGTCAAGTGTGGGGTGGCCCCCTGACCCCCAGTGACCCCCCCTGTCCCTTTTCAGCCACCTCCTCTCCTCCCAGTACGTGGAGCGTCACTTCAGCCGGGAGGGGCCCTCCCAGCACAGCACCGTGAGTGCCTCTGTGGGGGGCCTGGGCATGGGGCCCCCCAGACTGGGGAGGAGGCTGGAGAGCAGGGTGGGCGGGAGGGCTGGACCCCAGCTCCACCTGGACTGGACCTCGCTGCCCTGGGAGGGGCAGGGACGTGCCCTGTGGGAACTCCCAGTGGGGTCTCAGGGCCCAGCAGAGGGGGCATCTACAAATAGCTGCAGGAGGCTGGGTGGGGTGCTGGTCCCCTCTGTGCTGAGAGGCCAGCAGTGGAGGCGCGGATTCCGGTGTGGCAGGTACCGTGGGATGATCCAGAGCTTAGAGCGGAACCCCTGCACTGTTTAGGGTTAGTGGTCCACTAACATGGTTAAGAGCCACTGACACAGTCCTGCAGGCTTCTGGTGTAAGTGAGGCAAGGAGACCAGAGAGGTCCAGCGACCTCCCTGAGGCCACCAGCACAGTGTACCAGGCTGGCACTGCCAAGGGCGCCTGGGACGGTGGCACCAAGCCCGCCCTCCTGCTGCTCTTGCAGGGGGCTGGGGACCACTGCTACTACCAGGGGAGGCTCCGGGGGAACCCCCACTCCTTTGCCGCGCTCTCCACCTGCCAAGGGCTACAGTGAGTAGGGGAGGGGCTGGGGAGGCTTGAGGGGGGTTGGGGTGTGGGGAAGGGCAGACCCCCGAGCCACGCCTGTCTGCCCTACAGTGGGGTCTTCTCCGATGGGAACTTCACCTACATCGTGGAGCCCCGCGAGCTGGCTGAGCCTTGGAAAGCCCCCCAGGTGGGTCCCTGAGCAGTGCCCGGTGGTGCCAGCTCCCTGCCTCGGTAACCTCAACCTTCCTGCCCTCCTCCGTGACCCCAGCTCCAGTGTCCCCTCTGTCCTCCAAACCACCTCTCAGCTGGCTCCAGTGTCCTTTGCCCCGGTCACTCAGGGCGCCCCTGGGTCTTGACCCCGGAATCTGAGCATCTGAGAGATCGGATCCCACCTGGGAGCTCAGGCCAATTCTGGGTCACCGGGGTGGGGGGGTGGGGGCAGGTGGGGCTGGAGTGCTCAGCTAACCCCCAAGACTAACACCCCCCAATCACAGGGACCCCTCCCACACCTCATCTACCGGATCCCTCTCCTTCCAGCTCCCTTTGGGTGCCAGGAACCAGGTAAGGGAGGGATGGGGGGCAGGGCGGGGCCAGCCAGGCCCCCCCCTCACCTGTGGCCCCTCCCCAGGCTGCCTGTTTGCTGCCCCTGCCCGGCCTCCTGCAGACCTGCCCAGGCTGAGAAGGAAAAGGCAGGTAGGGGGCCCGCACAGAGCACGGGCTGCAGACCCCCCCAAGCCCCCACCCGCCGCACACTGGGGCCAGGGTCCCGGCTCTGGGAGGGTGCCCCCTACCCAGGCCGCATGCTGCCTCTACTGACACATCGGAGAAGCCAGACCCTCAGTCTCCCCAGGCCTGGCCAACGCCGGGCGTGGAGGGGACTGATTCCCACCCCCCAGGTCCGCCGGGGCCACCACACGGTGCACAGCGAGACCAAGTACGTGGAACTGATCATCATCAACGACCACCAGCTGGTGAGTGGCAGGCGCTGAGGGGAGGGGGCCGGGAAGGAGCCTCCCTGCAGCCCTCTTTCCGCTCCCCCAGTTCGAGCAGATGCGACAGTCCGTGGCTCTCACCAGCAACTTCGCCAAGTCCGTGGTAAACCTGGCAGATATGGTGAGCTGACCCCCCTGCATCCCCTCCCTGCACGCACAGCCATCGGTCGTGTCCCAGAGGGCCCCTCACCTCCAGCCCCTTCCCTCTTCCCCGCTCTGGGCGCAGATGTACAAGGAGCAGCTCAACACCCGCATCGTGCTGGTCGCCATGGAGACGTGGGCAGACGGGGACAAGATCCAGGTGCAGGATGACCTGCTGGAGACCCTGGCCCGCCTCATGGTCTACCGGAGGGAGGGTCTGCCGGAGCCCAGTGATGCCACCCACCTCTTCTCGTGAGTCTCCCCTGTACCCTGAGCCTCTGCTAGGGGCTCAGGGTCCTGGAGGGCTGCCCAGCCACCTCCCCTTTACCACCGGACCCCTAGGGCTTCCTCTGTCCCCTCTGACTTTCCCACTGTCCCCAGCAGGGCTTTAGATTAGACACGGCTCAGTGGGAACCCGTGTGTGGTTTGTGGCCCAGTGAAGAGGGGCAGGGTAGGGGCTTACATGGCTGAATGCCGACCCCTATCCCCCAGCTCCCCTCGCAGCATAGGGTGTCGTCTGGGGGGAGCCGCGGCCACTGACCGCCTCCTCCTTCCAGGGGCAGAACGTTCCAGAGCACCAGCAGCGGGGCCGCCTACGTGGGGGGCATCTGCTCGCTGTCCAGGGGTGGCGGGGTGAACGAGGTGAGCTGCAGTGGGTGGGTTGGGAGGGGCAGGGACCCCTCTGGAGAGAGGGAGGCATCTCTGATCCATCTTCCTCACCCCAAGTACGACAACATAGGGGCCATGGCAGTGACGCTGGCCCAGACGCTGGGGCAGAACCTGGGCATGATGTGGAATAATCACCGGAGCTCAGCAGGTACGATGAGCAGGGGCTGCTCCGCACCCCCACCCCCAGCCTGTGGGAGGGGCCCTTCACTGGGCCTCAATCCACCTGCCTCACCTCCAGGTGACTGCAAGTGTCCAGACAGCTGGCTGGGTTGCATCATGGAGGACACCGGGTGAGTTCCTAGGGAAAATCAGGGAGGGTCTTGGGACGGACACACACACGGCAGCTCTGGGTCCCTGAGAGGTTCCAAGCAGCCAGAAGGTCTTGGGACACACACACACACAGCAGCTCTGGTTCCCTGAGAGGCTCCAAGCAGCCAGAATGCGAGGCTCGGTGCTCTGCCGGACACCCGCTATCCTGCCTGCGTGGCGCCCAGTGACCACCGGGCGCCGCCAGAGCCCGCTTCATCCGGACGCTCCAGCCTCGCGGCCAGGAGTGTGGGGTGGGTGGGCGGAGACTGCAGCGACATCCGGGCAGGCGGATGCTCGGAGGGACCGAGGCGCCTGGGCACCCTCCTCCTGACCTGTAGAGGGGGCGAGCCAAGGAGCTGGCCGGGGAGGGCGCGCCGCTCCCACCTGTGCCGGGCTCCAGCTGCATCTCCGCACCCCTGCCAGGTTCTATCTGCCCCGCAAGTTCTCCCGCTGCAGCATCGACGAATACAACCAGTTTCTGCAGGAGGGCGGCGGGAGCTGCCTCTTCAACAAGCCCCTCAAGGTACCCGCGCCCGCGGGGGAGGTGGGGCGGGAGGCCTGGGCGGACTCCGGCCCGACTCGCGACCCCCTTTCCCCGTCCGGCCCAGCTCCTGGACCCTCCGGAGTGCGGGAACGGCTTCGTGGAGGCGGGCGAGGAGTGCGACTGCGGCTCGGTGCAGGTGAGCACCCGAGGCCGGGGGCGGCCGGCGTGGGGAGGGGGGTCGGGGGGGAGGGTCGCCGCCCCTCTGCCTCCCTCCCCTGCTCCTCGCCTTCCTCAGGAATGCAACCGCGCCGGCGGGAACTGCTGCAAGAAATGCACCCTGACGCACGACGCCATGTGCAGCGACGGGCTCTGCTGTCGCCGCTGCAAGGTGCGGCGCAAGGGGGCGGGGCGGAGCTGAGGAGGGGCGGAGACTGGCGTGGAGGAGAACCAATAGGGATCAAGGGGCGGGGCCGAGGGCGAGAGGGGCGGGGCCCGCTCGTCAGCCACTCGGACCTGACGTGGGGGGTCCGCGTCCCTTTCTCAGTACGAGCCGCGGGGTGTGTCCTGCCGAGAAGCGGTGAACGAGTGCGACATCGCAGAGACCTGCACCGGGGACTCGAGCCAGGTCCGCTTGTCCCGCCGCTCTGCGGTGCCAGGGACAAGGCCACCTACCCTCTGCCCGCTCTTGTCCAGTCCTCATGTAAAGGGATTCTTCCTGCTCCTGGCTCTGCCCTTCCCATCACTGTATACATAGTCCCGCGGCGCCTGGCATGCGCTCGGGATCAGAGCCAATAGGTAAATATCAGCTCCAGGCCGTCCTTGTAGCGGGCTCAAGTTGGAGCCCCTGCACCACGTGGTCTGCCAAGCACCCACCCCCACCCCAAATATACTAAAGGGCTCTGAAGTCTAGGGGTTATGTGCCAGGTGTTTTTGCACAGCTGTGAAGCGGAAGCAGGAAGCCCATGGACTCCTGGCAGGCTCTAGGGTTTGCTGGTCTGTGATTTGTTCTCAGAACCAGAATTGTGATCCTTGTCCTGATTGAACCCTGTCACAACCTTCCCGGGGTGGGGTGGCCTTGGAGACTCCCGTTGCTCCTCTCAGCACTGCTGCTCTGCTCAGCCCAGCCCTTCTCTCCATAGTGTCCCCCGAACCTGCACAAACTGGATGGGTACTACTGTGATCATGAACAGGTAAAGGGAGCTGGGGTGCCCGAGGGCCTGGCTTCGCAGTCTCATCACACTGGGCCCGCTCACTGTCTCTGTGCCCTGTTTCCTGCTGACCCCTTAGGGCCGCTGCTACGGGGGCCGCTGCAAAACCCGGGAACGGCAGTGCCAAGCGCTCTGGGGCCATGGTGAGTCTCTGGTCTAGAGGAACAGATTCTAGCTGGAGAGGTTCACAGATGTGTGACTCTGGGGCCCCGGGGTCAGCCAGACCATAGGAGGTGGAGGCCCGGGGCCCCAAGGAAGTGGTTTTGGGTGACACCCTCTGCTCTTTGTCCCCGTCATTCCCTGCAGGGGCCGCCGACCGCTTCTGCTATGAGAAGCTGAACGTGGAGGGGACAGAACGGGGGAACTGTGGGCGCAAGGGGTCAGGCTGGGTCCAGTGCAATAAACAGTGAGTCACCTGGGCTCTGGGGGGTGCTGCCCGGCTCGGAAGTGAGGACTTGGTGTGATGGGCCGCAGAGGCCCACCAGTGAGGCCCGAGGGAGGATGTGCTGGCTGGGGAGGGAGATGCCGTCTGGGGCTGAGGTCAGCCATGGGCTACGCTGGCCCCCTGCTGCCCCAACAGGGACGTGCTCTGCGGCTTCCTCCTCTGCGTCAACATCTCTGGAGCCCCTCGGCTGGGAGACCTGGGGGGAGACATCAGCAGTGTCACCTTCTATCATCAGGGCAAGGAGCTGGATTGCAGGTGCCAGCCTGGGCTGGGCTTGGAAGTGTGTGTGTGGGGGGGGGGGGGGGGCTGCCGGGGGGCATGAGGGCTGAGCGCGCCAGCACCCTCTCCCCAGGGGTGGCCATGTGCAGCTGGCTGACGGCTCCGACCTGAGCTACGTGGAGGACGGCACAGCCTGTGGCCCCAACATGCTGTGCCTGGCCCACCGCTGCCTTCCTGCCTCCGCCTTCAACTTCAGCACCTGCCCTGGCAGCGGGGAGCGGCGTGTCTGCTCCCACCACGGGGTGCGTCAGAGGCAGGCGAGGAGAGCCGCGTGCGCTGGGAGGGACTGTGTCCAGAGAACTCCCTGCGACTGCTCTCTCCCCTGCCCACTCCCCCTCCCAGGTCTGCAGCAACGAAGGGAAGTGCATCTGTCAGCCTGACTGGACGGGCAAAGACTGCAGCATCCACAACCCTCTGCCCACGCCGTCACCCACGGGGGAGACAGAGCGCTACAAGGGTGAGGCTGCCGAGCGGGGCGGCGCCTGTGCCCTCACGGTCTCCAGCCTCGCCAACCGAGCCCTGCCCTCCCCCAGGTCCCAGTGGCACCAACATCATCATCGGCTCCATCGCCGGCGCCGTCCTGGTCGCGGCCATCGTGCTGGGTGGCACGGGCTGGGGATTTAAGTAAGACACCCCATCCTCTTGTCCCCTGCATCCCGGGGTCCTCCAGGGTTGTCAGGGCCCCCCGGTCGCTGGCGTTCAGGGCGCCTCCCCGAGAGGTGAGCTGGATCTGTGTCCTGGTCACCCTTAACAGCCTGGGGATTTCACAGCCCTCACCCCCTGCCCTGTGCCCCCCACCCCGTGCTCTGGGGCTGCCAGGATTCTAGGCGGCGGGTCCTCTCAGTTTCTTTCTCTGGGGACCCCAGTCTGTCTCGGGGCGCTGGGTCTCCCCAGGACACCCCTGAAGGCTCCTTTCCTCTCTTCTTTCCTTTTCACCATGGCTCCTGAAGAAACATCCGCCGAGGAAGGTACGACCCGACCCAGCAGGGGGCAGTGTGACGCCGGCCACGTCATCCCTCCCGCTGTCCCTGTGTCCCATCTCATCCGTCACCGCATTCTGTGGATGGGGAGCTGGGGGCCGACCCCCGCTGCTGTCACTCCGGGGGTGGGAGAAGCCGCTCCCGGAAGACGTCTCCCTTGGCCTGCCCCCACCTTCGTCCCTCCCGCCCTCCCCGGGGTCAGACCCCCCCACCCCGGCCAGATGGAGCTGGGCACTGTGTCCCCCACAGTCCGGCCCCGGGGCAGGGCGCCCCCCTCTGCGTCCCATCTGTCGTGTGTTCCATGTCGCCGCTGTCTGACCTCCCACCAGACCCCTCCCTGGCCAGCCTGTGACTTGCTGTCCCCGGCCCAGCACGGACCCACCAGGGCCTGGCTCGGGGGCGCCCCCTCTGGGCCTGCCTCCTGCCCCGCGCCCCTGACACCCCGTCTCCGTTCCAGGTCTGGAGGGGCCTAAGGGCCACCCCCCTCCCTCCACGGCTGGCGCCCACCGTCTCCACCCTGAGCTGCGAGGCCGCCGTGCCCAGCCACGGAGGGAGGCTCCGTGCTTATGTCTTCCGGGCCCAGCCCTTCAGCCCTGCCCCGCGGGGGCGGTGCGGGGGGGGCCGGGGCCCTCCCTGTCAGACCGCCAGGGTGGACTGGACCTGGAGGTCACTCCTCCGGGTCCCCCACCCTACCTCATGCGGCTCGGGCCGCACCCACCTGCGCTCCCTGTGTGAATGTAGCTTCCATCTCCATGGATCCTGCGGCCCGATGGGAAGGGGCAGCTGCAGGGGGACCCGGAGGCGGCCCAGGACGGGCCCCTCTTCAGAACCAGGCGGAGGGGCCTTCAGGGATGAGTGTACCCCCGAGGGCCGGGCAGGGCAGGCATGTGTGGTCTGGCTCAGGGAGCGAGCGCGGTGAGGCCGGGCCCGCCCCTCCGCTGGCTCACTCGAGCTCCAGCACCGGCTCGAACCAAAGCTGCCTGTGCCGCGCCCGGCCGAGAGCAGGGAGGGCAGGCAATCTCATGTGGCAGAGGGTCGTCACCGGCACAGCGACTCGCTGCTGTCCTGCCAGGAGGCGTGCGATGGGGGGGTCAGGAGAAAGTCCCTGGAATTTAATGTCACCTCCCCCCTCTCGAGAAAGGTGACTCTGGGGCCGACTCAGGGTTTGGGCACCTCTGGTGCGGCCCAGAGCTCCCGGCTGGGCCATTTTTCCCAGGGAGAAGATGGGGGTGGGGTTGGGGGGTGGGACTGGTCAGTGCCTGGAGAGGTAGGGAGAAGTGGGTCCCAGGGACAGTCCTCAGCTGCTAGAAAAGCCCCCCAGCCTGCAGCCCCTCCACTCCCACCTCACTCCAGGACCAGGTAGTGAAACTGCAGCAGGTTCCCCATGGGGCTCGTCCGGAGCCGGGCACCGTCCCTGCCTCAGTGCCCCCACGGCTCTCACCGGAGGCAGGAGCTCCTGCTGGTGGGACCCCCGGATGGATGGATGCCCCTCTCCCTCGGGAGAGGCCCCCAGGTTCGGCAGGGGGTTCCGGACGCCCCAGGACCTTCCAGCTGCATCAGTGCCTGTCACTGGGGGGAAGGGTGCCTGGATGACCTCACCGCCCACCGGGACAAGGGTCTGAGCCCCACGGACAGACACTGGGGCAGGCGCCCACTCCCAGGACACCTCAGCACATCATGGCACTGCCCAAGCAAGGGGTGGGTGGGCTACCCCTCGCCAGCTCTGCTCTGCCAGCCCCGGGGTGGGGGGGGCTTGGGGACAGGTGAGGGCCCCTTGCACTCACCCTGCTGTGTCCCCGTGGCAGGGGGACCAGAGTGCACCCCTCCTGTGCCCCGCCCCCTCCCCTGGCAGGGCCTGGAGGAAGGAGGGAAGCAGCCCCCACAGCATCCTGTAAATATGTCCTGGGCTGGGCCGGGAGCAGAGACAGACGCTTCGATTAAAGATCATGTCCTTGGGCTTCCGCGGAGCTCACACCAGTGGCCTCTGTTGTCTGTGAGTGGCCTCAGGGTCTCCTGCTCTGGGGACATGGGGGGTACTGGCCGAGGGTAGCAGTGCCCAGGCTGATGGAGCGAGGGTGTGGGTGTGGGTTTCTCTCCAGAGGACGGAAATTGTTGGGCCTAGGCCTGGCTTCCTTCCTTTTATCTCCCCAGAGAGTAAACTGCAACCCCGCCCCCCTCCCCCCCCAGACCCAGAGCATTCACTGCCCCAATAGCCTGGGGTCCTACATCCTCTTTCTGCTAAAGCCAGAGACAAGATGCCTGGAAAACGCCCAAACTTCCCTCCGGCCCCAAGGGCGTGAGCTGGGCCAGAGAATTGGCTCCTTTCCTGTCTGTGCCTGTCCCATGAGGATTCCTTCCTCTTCTGAAGGCTTTGGGCTCCAAGTGTGACTCTTTGTGGGAGAGCAAGAAGGCCAGGGAGGGGGGGAGGGGCAAGCAGGCAGCACCCCTCTTCGACCCCTGCTGGCAGGACACCCTGGTTCGCCTGCAGAGTGGGGCGCGGGCCTGGATCCCTTGTTGGATGACTCTGCACCCCTACCCCTGCCCTGCTCCTGGACATGGGGCCATGCTGTCCGTGGCGGCACCGGGCCAGCTTCCTCCCAAGAGGCTCCCAGGCGTTTGGCCACTATTCAAGTGACAATGTGGCCCAAAGTCTGGACCCCTGCACCCGAAGGCACTTTTCCCCAGGCCCCCATGCGCACAGCTGCCCAATCTGGACTTTCAGCCTTGATGGGCCCACCGGGTTTGCTGATGGGACAGACCCAGGACAGAGGGCACGCGGAGTCAGTCCTGGGCTTTGGGGTCTGGCCCGTCACCCCGCTGCTCCTCATTAGCTGGGGGTGCACCCCGAAGTGCCAGGTGCTGTGGAGTAGTGGGACAAGGGTGCTGGGAGGCAGTGGCCCTCTGCCCTCCGGGTCCCCTGGGAATGAGGATGGGATGGAGGCATTCTCCCGCTCCCAGGGAAGGTGCTCACGGCTCCAGCACGAGTGGCAGCCGAGGGCTTCAAAGGGTGTGTTGCCTGGAAGTGGGGATCCCAGGAGCCACCGAACACAAGGACTCCCCAGGCGCTTTTTCAGAAGTAGAAAATCTTTGCTCCGATCAGCATTGGTGGTTTAGGTCCCTCCCCTCAGCCTGTGTTCAGGGCTGGAGATTCTCAGGTGGATCCGGGGTCAGAGCCTGTGGGCAGGCAGGAGCCGAGGGGCACTGCACAGCCACCTAGCGGGAGGAAGGATCATAAGACTCATCTGGAACCGCAGGGGGCCTGGGTTGTGGCTCCCTAGCAGGGCATGTGCTGTGCACGTGTGGGGCCCCAACAAACCAACCCAAACCCAGTCGGGCAGGAAGACGGTGCTGACGACTGGGTGCATGCAGGCCTGATGCCCCACCAAACAGGTGAGAAAGGACAACTGGCCGGTGCCATGTGTCCTTCAAGAGGTGGCTCTCCAACCATCCCTGGGGATAGCTGCTGAAGTGTCGGGGCCACAGCACCCCCAAGTCTCTGGCAGAGCGCTGCATGGAAGGGGACCAGATGCCACTTCCCAGACAGCTGCCACCACCACGGACCACCAGCTGTCCTTTAAGGCTGTTCATGTGATCCCACTAACCTCAGGCTGAAACCAAGGCTGGCCTGCCCCAGGGTGAAGGGATGCATCAGGCTCAGTTTCTGGACCCCGCTGTCCTCTTGGACAAGCTTTAGGTGGGAGTCTGCAGTGTTAACTCCCCAAACCCTCATGAAGAGTCCTAGATTTCAGCCAGTTTGCCGGGGGGGGGGGGGGTGCGGAGATGGAGCAAAGGGCAGATCACAGGCTTCGCATGCAAGAGTCCTGGGTTCCACCCCTGCACCTTACAGTCCCCCAGCACTGCCACATAGAGACTAAAAAATATGGGGCTGGAGCAATAGCACAGCGGGTAGGGTTTGCCTTGCATGCGACTGACCCGGGTTCGATTCCCAGCATCCCATAACCGACCCCCTGAGCACCACCAGGAGTAATTCCTGAGTGCAGAGCCAGGAGTAACTCCTGTGCACCACCGGGTATGACCCAAAAAGCAAAATAAATAAATAAATAAATAAATAAATAAATAAAGTGAGTAAGGGGTGAAAAGACAGGACAGGGATGGATAAGCCACTTGCCTTGCCTCCTGGCAACCCAGTGAGACTCCCTACATCACGGGGTCCCAACTCGCGACTGTCCTAAGAAACTGGGCTTCAGCCTGAGTCTCAGTGATCTTTGGGGCATGGACACAAAATCATTCCCTTTGAGACGTACCCCATGGCATGTGCACAGCAGGAAGAATGACATTGCTGTGGCAAGAATGGGGATGAGGGGGTCGGAGTGACAGCACAGTGGGTAGGGCATTTGCCTTGCACATGGCCCTCCTAGGTTTTAACCTCAGCATCCCCTAGGGGCCCTGGAGCACGGCCAGGAGTAATTCCTGAGTGCAGAGCCAGGAGTAACCCCTGAGCACTGCTGGGTGTGGCCCACAAAAAGCCCCTCCTCCAAAATGGGGATGAGTGTCCCAGGCCCCCATTGCCCCCAACCGTCAGCTCTTCTGGAGGCATCAGAGGAATCCTCCTTCCCAGCTCCAGGCCCGCCCTCCCTCCACAGAGCCTGGGAACATTCAGGGGAGGGAGGCGTAGGCCCTACTCAGAGAGGGAATTGGTGGGTCACCAGGGAGGCCTGTTCACCATCTCTGCCTCATGCTTAGGGATGTTCCCACGCACCCTTGAGGACTCTGCTTGCTGCCCCATCAGGTTCCTGTCCTATGACCCAGACAGCAGAGCTCTGAGGAGTCTGCTGGTCTAACACAAGCTCCTTTCCAGGGCTCTGCCCTTTTCCTAGGGCTCCATAAGTGTCAAAAAGTTCATGGTTGGGCTGGAGCGATAGCACAGTGGGTAGGGCATTTGCCTTGCGTGTGGCTGACCCAGGTTCGATTCCCAGCATCCCATATGGTCCCTTGAGCACCGCCAGGAATAATTCCTGAGTGCATGAGCCAGGAGTAACCCCTGTGCATCACTGGGTGTGATCCAAAAAGAAAAAAAAGTGTTTATTTTATTGCCCAGCTGGGGCTGTCTCTTAAGGTAAAAGAATCAAAAGAGTTGGGTTGGAGAGATAGTACGGGGGTGGGGGGGTAAGGTCCTTGTCATGTGACTGATGGGTCTCCACATGATCACCTGAGCACAGAGCTGGGAGTAGCTCCTGAGTACCACTGGGTGTGGTCCAAAAATGGAAGGAAGGAAGGAAGGAAGGAAGGAAGGAAGGAAGGAAGGAAGGAAGGAAGGAAGGATCAGTGTCATTGAAAAGGGACTAAAATCTGACTTATTCTGACAACTGCAGAATCAGAAGACAAGAGGGATGTAAGAAACATCTGTGTATGGGAGCCAGAGATAAAGTGCAGTAGGCAGGACACTTGTCTTATATGTGGATGATTCTAGTTCAATCCCCAGCATCTCTT